GGGCTGCTGGGGGCCTGCGAGCTGGATGCAGTTTTCTGTCTTAAATGGCGCCGTTTCTTTTCGGCCTGCTTTCCCTCCAGCTCTTGACCGCGGTGGTGAGCGCTGCTGAATCCGGGTTCGGGGCGGCGCTCTGGAGGGGGACAAGATCGAGACGGGCTTGAGACTCAATGTGTCGCGGCATCTGGCTGCCGTCGAGAAGGGGACGCCTGTCAACCAGACCCTGGACGAGAAGGCACTGCAGACGATCAAGGACCTTTGCAAGAGTGAACATACGTCAGTCCCCCATGAGTTCCTGCGCTCGTCAGCCGGCCTGCAGTGCGCAGCGTATATCAGTCTACGTACCTTCGCTTCAATGCCTGCCCTATGTTGTTCTTTTCTGTAGCTATTGTATGGTGGCTGCTCACAGAAACCTTTTGGAGGTGAGAGAGCCAAGCACAACGCCACGAGCTCTGAGACTCAGCGATTGTCGGTGCGTAATATTCATTCATGTCTCCCTCCGTAGGGCTGGAGGCCACAAGATCCGAAGGGCTTCTGGACGCAACACAGCAAGGCGCTGATCGACAGCATGAATGCCACGGGCTACTTCGAGAGTGACAAAGTGCTCTATCACATCAAGTAGGCCGTAAGATTGCGCTGCCCTGTCAGTGAGTGCACCGCTGGTGTTTGCCGTGTGTCAGGTACTCATCGGGCGTCATGGGCATCGTCGTTTTGGCTGATGTCGCGTCTGGTGAGGATTCAGAACATCCGCATGTGTCTACTTTTGAGACCCAACCCAACATGTTATCTTTCTTTGCCCACCAGGCCAGCTGCAGTCCCAAGATCCGGCACATGCAACGTTGCCACACGGTCGACACACGACTTTCCTAATCTGATTTCTTCACTTCTGTCCTCGTTTCGGACCGCAGAGGACCGGACGACGCTGCACGTGGCGATAAAGATGAGCAGAAGCGATCCGAGCCCTTATCGTCACGCCATCTTTGCTGATGAGCTACAAAAAGAGAAAACAGGTAACAAACGGGCGACTGCAACAGCAACGAAGGCACACACGCCATTCTCACCCATTGATCAGCATACAAAAAACTTGAAGACCTCATGGCAGCTAAGGAATGCTACTCAGCAGGCGATGATTAGAAGCAACCCGTGGGAAGATGGATGGATGGATGGATGGATGGACGGATGTGTCAGGGCATCTCTCGAGACACACACCTCCCTCGGATTCCCCGAGTGTATGTCCCCGTTCCCGGGAAAGCCGACAAGCCTCTCTCAGGTCCCTCCACACACACACACACACACACACACACACATGTCTGCACTCAAACGCAGAAGCCAAAAAATGCACGTGTACCTTTCGGTGGATTTGAACCGCAGACGCCTACTTGTATCTCGGTTCCTGAGAGGACGCATTCTCTGCTTGCTACATTGTGTGATGACTCTTCTGTGTGTGTACTTTGAGTGTCTTTGCCGCAGAACGGTTCGATGGCGAGAATTTGTGGCACATGTAAGACAACGAGACATAGCAATGATTCACACTCGTCAATAGCGACATTGGTCAACTTCACCAGGCAAGAGGAGCATGTCCCAGTCAACAGCCTAGTGCCGCTAATGCTACCCGGCGATAAGACGAGACACACACTCGTTCGTTTTGGTTCGTTCATGTTGGCTTTGGTCATCGAAGCGACCCTTGCCCTCCACAAGATCGGCATCGCTCACTGCGAGTGAGCGCGGGGAGATGGGACAAGAGATGTGGTCATCGCACACACGTTTGTTTGTTTCCCGTGGGTCAGTCTCAATCCCGGTATGTACCGCGCGTGTATGCACACCGGACGGTGGCAGGCCAAGTAGTATGACCAGACGCACGGTGGATTGCTTCGCTTCAGGTAACATCCTCTTGCCGCTTCTGAAAGCAGAGGACATCCATTGGCCATATGGCGCAGCTGCACCCAAAAGAGTAGGTGTCTCACCCACAGTCGAACAGTCGCATCAATCTCTTCGTTCGTCTCTCTTTTCCCCATAATCGGTACAGGGCGACGTCTTTGTGGCGACGGAGCTCAAGCCTAGATCACTCATACTGATAGATTTCAGTTCCCTTGCCTTCATCACGGCCCCGGACGAGCGCGACCCGTGTGAGAAGGAGTCCTGGGATGCAGCCAAAATCGTCCAGTAAGTGAGTGCATCGTCAGCGCCTCTCCGCCCCCTGTCTTCATGCATTGTTTGCGCAGGCTGAGTGATTTGACGTTCACCGGTCCAATGCTAGCTTCGCGGCCCGTGCTGGAGTCACCCACGCTCATTGACATGATCAAACATCAGCACGATCCCGACAAGGTGGGAGGCGTGCACTAGACGGGACTCTTGCATGTGTCTCATGTTATGTCATGTTACGTTGTGTGGGGGTGTGTACATCCCGATCCAGAGCTGCTACATGTTCAGCCTATTCTTTGGGGGGCCAGTGGCAACTGAGTAGATCGTCAACACCACAGGCCAATACCTGGGGGAAGGTATCTATCTAACACGGCCGTGCATCGCATCCATCCCTATATGTGTCCATGGAACTTGCTCATGTATGTCTGCAGACCTGGTGTCTCGCCTCCGTGAGTACGAGCGGCTGGCTCCGCTGCTCGAAATGCCTCCCTCGAACTCCCAATATTTAAACTTCTTCCAAGCCATGGCCGCCAAGTAGGCTAATTCGGCAGCCCAGAGACATCCCTCTTTGTCCATTTCGCATTTAAAGGGACCCGGTAGAGTACAAGAAGAAGCTCCTGGAGCACAAGCCGGAGTTGCAATCCCAGCAAGAAGACGTCGACAGGATCCTCTCGATGGCGGGCTCATGCTCGCCTACGCGCCAGGACAAGTGGCTGAGGGAGATGCGGGACCTCGCCCTGAAGGACGGCATCACGTATGGCCCCGACCACAAACCCGTGAGACACGCCACAGAGATGCCATGAATGAGCTGATGCATCACGTCAAGCCGATGAGGAACGCAGAGGCCGGCCCGTCCCGTGTGTGCGATTGAGCGAATGAGTACTGACTGTTGGAATTGGCCATGTGGCGTCGGTATCTCTGTCAGTCATTGTCAACAGTGATCGATTCAAACGAGAGATGTCCATACATACATGCATTGGATCGTCAAGCGAGCACTCTTGGACGTGCAGACAGACGGAGCACGCAGCCAGCAGACAGACACTTGCAGACAGACACACATGTGCACGCAGCAGAGCTGCAGACAGACACACCACATATAAACGAACGCATGGGGCGGACGGACGGTGGCGATACAGACACGCACGTCATTGAAGGCAAGGAATTCCTGGTTTGACAAGGAATTCCTTGCTTCAGAGGGCCATTCCCGCCAGGTTTGCTTCATCTGGTCGGCCATTCCGTCGAGCTTCGAGCTTCTTGATCCGTCTTCGCTAATTTTGCTCGTCGGAGGTCTCCTGGCCTTCCCCTGGGGCTGTCTTCGCCAGATTCACGCATCCAGCCTCTCCCCGACAAGATCTCTTGTTCAAGACGTCATCCCCGCAGCTTGGCGGGTTCGGTTGATCAACAGCTCTATCGCACCAGCCCCTTGTGTCTCGTGCTTCCTCTGCTGATTTGGTGCCTCTACGCGTGGCCGACAAAGCCGGGAAGCGAGCAAGGGGATAGAACTGATAGGACGGACAGACTAGTCTTGAGACGTGTGCATTTGTATATTCGACAAGTGTGTGACACTGTGCGTAGCAGTGTGCCATTGTGACTCGTTGCCTCCTTTGACTATCGACTTCTTACCTTCGTCGTCTAGTTGAGCGTCGCAAGCGGTGTCTCTCTAGCGTGAACCACATTAAAGTGGTCCCTTAACACGGGCTACCCTGCCCGTCGGTGGTTCTCTCACAGAGAAACCTGCTGTGCGCGTGACATCAGGTCGACTTGACTCGTGTGCTTGTCGTCATTTATTCTTAATTGTGTCTCTTATCGATTGGTCAATCAGCATCGAGTAAGCGGTATTTCATAGCGTCATCTATACGAATGATCCCAGGCCACCCCACCCCACCCACCGGGCCCGCCTGCTCACTCGAGCGCATCCAGCTGTTCGATGGCCTGCCGCACTTTCTCCCACACCCCCTCAGGCGCCACCCGCTCCAGCGACCCGACGTCCATCTCCCAACGACGCTGGCCGACCATGGAACAGAGCGTGTCGAAGTGCCTGTTCTCTCGCCCACGGTTGCCGCCGAACAATTCGATGAGAGCCGATCCGGTGCGCATATATAGGCAATGGGTCAGGCCCGCCCCATGGACGCCCATCAGGATGTCAGCCGAGGTCGCCGTCAACACTTGCTCGGTGAAGGTGTGCGCCTCGCCAGGGTTGTAGTCCTTTATTTGCCACCCCGACAAACGTGAGTCGGTCGCCGCCGCCTTGTCTAATGACTGCCGCAGGGACGCCAGCAGCTCAGCCTCGTTGCCCACCTGACGTCACAACAACCCGAATACACTCATCACACGACGTCTGGCCGCACGTGGCTGTGGTGTGGCTAACGTGTCTAGCTGGCGTGTAGGTTTTGATGTGGCCTCTTGCCTTGTCGACAACTTGCGAGTACGGCCGTCTGCTGAGCCACAAGATGCGCCTCTCACGCCTCGGGGGCCACTGCCACTGTTGCCGCAAGAACTCATCCGCCATGGTGGTCGTGTTGCTCAGCTGGCCCGGACGTCTTTTGTCCAACGCCTCCACGGTGCTGCTGCTGTTGGTGTCACGCTGAGAGGTGGAGACGTTGAGTGCTGTCAGGACGTGTGTACGGAATGCGTGCATGATGGCCGATTCGCAGAGATTGGAGTGCCCGTCGCCAGCTGGGTGGAATTCGGAGCGAGAGTTGCCTCGCAACAAAACACGATCGGCAAGATGCGTCTGCCAGTCGAGGTTCATGAGGCCCACACCGCCGTGAGCGCCATGGACGAGACGCGAAAAGCACAGCTTGCCCTGATAAAACCGCTGTGTGGCTGGTGATGGGCGTGTGCCGATGAAGACAGGGGGGTGCGAGGGCAACATGCCCTGCCAGAAGTCGATAAAAGGTCCCGGCGGCTGCTTGTCGACTGTCAGCACCCACACACGCACACAAATGGAATCTGTGTCTTTCTTCTGTTTCTCTTTTCTGTGTGTGTGCATCACAGACTTGCGAGGAATTGTGTTTCGAAGGGCGACAGTCCGGCCACAGCCAACGCGATGAACGCACCCACCGCATCCAGGTGCATCTGGTTGATGTTGGTCGGATCCCACCTGCACGCACGCCCACGACACGACACGACACTGAATGACGCACTCACACACGGGCCCATATCTATGGTATGTGGGTACCTTTCCAAAACAAGCACAGGATGCCGCACCCAGTGTCTCTCATCGCACACCACATGGCCACTTGCATTCGACTCGCCATAATAGTGCAGCTTCTCCAGAAACCGAGCAGGCGGGCTGTCTGAGATGTCTGCCTCCTTCTCCAGCTGGAGGTCGGGAGTGCAGCCCGTCTGCACGCCCTCCCACTGGTCCTTGCCTGGCTGCCCCCAGCCCTTGCCGCCCGTTGCGTACTGCCACACAGCCGCCCGGATGGCGACAAAGTCACACATGACACGCGGGAATTTGAAGTCGCCCTTTCTCAGATAGCAGTTGACAGATGACACAGGGGCGTCGTTGTCGCGTCGGCTTTGGCAGATCTGCACCCGGAAGCCTCGCCAGCGGTCGATGAAAGGCAGGCCGTACCAGTACCTGCAGAGGCCGGGCTCCCTGACCTCGTCAAGGGCTCGGTCGGCCTGCTGAATCTCGTCATAGATGAGGCTGCACGCTGAGAGGCTGGATGGAGCCGTTGGCTGATGCTGGTCTGACTCACGTCTGTCGAAGTGCCACTTGGGGTGTCCACGGAATTTGATGGTCTTGTTGCCCTCTTTGTCCGTCTCCGTTGACATGAGGTCACCGCCCTGGAACTCGCGGCTGAGATTGGCGTGCCCTGCCTTGACGAACTTCTGCCTCACACGAGACAAGGCAAGGACACACACAGGATGACAACATCTGGTGCCCGTAGACGTGTGCTTGTGTGCAGACGACGCAGAAACGTCGTAAGGCCATCTTGTGCGACGTCTCACCGTCTTGCGAACATCTTTGGTTTCCGTGCGCTCGGTGTAGTAGGCTGTCAGGGGGACTTCGCACGGCTTAGGCTGGAGGTTCCTGCATGTCACCAGAGCGACGCTGGAGGCGAGCACCAGGGCCTTAAGCAGGAGGGCAAGCACGACGGATGCCATCTGCAATGACATGCACCAAACGGAACAGAGCCATCCCATCCTAATGGCACAATGGGACGGCGCGGCAGTCAGCCCCCGGCCGCCTCGTCTCGCTCACCGTCTCGATACCCACAGGCAACTCAAATGGTGAAGGGTTCAGTCAGGGACACCCAGAGAGGCTTCCGGGACCGCAGAAACGAAGGCGGCAGCTGAGCGGCGCTCCCTGGCTTGATACGAGGCGTTGTGTCACAAGGCCTCGTGGCAAAGCCCCCAGCGGAGAGGAGACGCCCCTAAAGCTTACAACCCGAAGAACGAAAGGGATGGCGAGTTTACGAGTCTCGAATCTTAACGACACCTTTGAGCTGCCATCGAGACTCTTAACGCTAACAGGTGACGCCTGCTTTGCTGAGCCGCTGGCGATGATGGTGATGCGTCGTTTCGCCCTCGAATCATCTTGGTGATGTGCAGCCCAGCGCAACGATGGCCGACGTAAGCTGAGGGGGGACACACACGCACCGAACCCATAAAGGGGCGAAACTGACCCGCTCAGGTTGTTGTATAGATTGACGGCCCACCAACGATTGATCCATCACACGAGAGCCACAATCACACACTTGCGTAACACTCACTCGTCACCTTTGGTTCTGTTTTGCTTTGCTTTGCTTTGCTTTGCTTTGTTTTGTTTTGCCTTGCTTGTCTCCTCTCACTCGTCACCTTTGGCTTTGGCTTTGCTCTGCGTACGGGCCAGGTAAATTTGCGAAGCGCTGTTTCTGCTGGCAAGCTTTGCTTGGCTTTGGCGAGCTTCGCTTGGCTTCGTCGCGGGACCCTTTCGGCTCGCCCCCAGCTTTTTGCGCAGCGTTCCCAGCACAGAGAGGGCTTTGCTCTGCTTCGCTTTGCTCTGCTGTGCTCATTGACACTCCAGAGGAATGGGTTCCTTTGGTTTGCTTTGCTCAGGCCGGTTTGCTGCGTTTGCTTTGGGGGCTGTAGCCGCTGCACACTTGGGCCCTGCCCGTGTGAGCGATTGAACGAATGAGTACTGACTGTTGGATTAATTAAACATGTGGCGTCGGTATCTCTGTCAGTCAGTGTCAACAGTGATCGATTCAAACAAAGAGAGAGATGTCCATACATACATGCATTGGATCGTCAAGCGAGCACTCTTGGACGTGCAGACAGACGGAGCACGCAGCCAGCAGACAGACACTTGCAGACAGACACACATGTGCACGCACCAGAGCTGCAGACAGACACACCACATATAAACGAACGCATGGGGCGGACGGACGTGGCGATGGCGATAGACATACATACACGCACGGCGTTGAAAGCACAGACACAGCCTCTCACACAACAAACAAAACCAAAACGCAATGAGAGCTCGTCCAACGTGATGCACTCATTCATGTGTGTGTGTGCTTGCGTCGCCAGAAGCTGTCCGTTCCCTCGCTGTGCTCTGTGCGGGCGGTGTGATTCGATCAGCTGCCCCGTGGCCACCTCTGTGCTATCTGCCGGTGCAGTCGGCACATGCACAGCCGTGGCCGCACGAGTTCTGATCAAACCGCACAGCCCCAGCGGAGCGACAGACCGACAGACCAAGATGGACAGAGAGACCACATCACGCAAGAAGAAGCGGTCAAGCCGGCCTTCCTTCCTTACTCACTCACTCATGCGGCCACACGCACACACACACACACTGGTCCCATACACTGATGCAGCTGACTGACTACAAATCGTTAGTCTCGGCCGATCAGTCCACGGCGGCAGCAGACACAGACAGACAGACAGACAGGCAAGGAGAGAAGGGTGGAGGGAGGGAGGGAGGGAGGGAGAGAGGCGTCACTGGGTCTTGCACTCCTGCTGGTCTCCAGCACCGCCCTGACACACATATGTACATGACACATACATTGCATGAGAATGCAGCACTGGTGAAAGAGAGGCCGGCCGTGTGCTGTGCGCACCTTTCCCTCCTTGCCCTTAGGCGCTCCGTGGTGGCCATGCTTGCCCTTGCCCTGACCACACACACACATATACACAGACAGAGAGACAAACAGTCGTGAGTGCGACCCGACCCACACAGGATATATGGTCGATACACACGAGTCATGAGAACAGTCCAGCCAGCCAGCCGATCGGTCAGTCCTTCCTTGCTAGATTTGTGTGCGTGTGTGTGTGTCAGCCAGCCAGTCATCTCATCCATGACATACACACATCCATCCATCCAGGCCCAGCCATATGATTTGGTGATTATCACATGATCTCTTAGGTGTGCTGTCTCTGACGCACTTTTCCCTTGGACTTCGGCATGTCTGCATCGTCCTCCTCGTCGTCGTCCTCGTCGTCATCGCCCTAAACACACACACGCATAGACACACATCGACCCATCCATCCATCCATCCATCCCCCTCTCTCCCCTCTGTCTGTCTGTCTGTCTGAGTGGATGGTGTGTGTGGCCTCCACACATGGTCATCGTCGTCAAGGTCGTCGTCATCGAATTCGTCGTCGCTGTCCTCCTCGTCGTCGCTGTCCACCTCCTCACCAGTGTACCACAACACCGCACGAGGGATGATCTTCTCCTACACGCATATAATCACGCAGCGACACGAACGAAGGCTGACCCCTTTGTGTGGACCAGTCCTCGTGTGTCGCCCACCCGTATGATGCATCCGGCCTGGTAGTCGGCCTCGACGATGACCTCGAGCTCCTCCACGGCCTCCTCCTCCATCTTCTCCAAATCCTGCTCACTCGGAATCACTATATGCACACATACATAATAAGGTCGAGCACTCGTATCCATCCATCCATCCATCCATCCACTCGTCGGTAAGGCCCTCTCTGACTGACTGACCGTGTTTCTTGAAGAAGTTGAAGAAGGAGGGGACGTCGACCTGCTCGGTGATCTTGCGGGTCGCCTTGGTACCTGATGTGTGAGGCATGCGAAGATGGACACACACATGCATGTGTGTGTTGGTGCCTGTGTGTCATGTCTGGCGTCTTGTTGTTACGTTTATTCTTTTGTTTGCGCGTGACGGTCTTCTTGGTGACGTCTTTGCCGGGCTTCCACACCAACTCAGTGCTGACCACCATATACATAACACATATACAGTCAGCACGCACATGCTCCCTCAGACAGCCCCCCCCTCCCTTCCCTTAGGGCCTACCAGTCGGTTGACGAGAGGACTTCGTCTTTGCCGTCGTCAGGCTGCTCGAGAATGTAGCTCTTGACGATCGTCGACGGCTCAAAGTAGGGATTCTCGCTGAACTTGAAAATCAAACGGAAACTCTGCACACACACACACACACACACACACACACAAGTTAAGGCAGAGTGATGTGCTGGCGTTCATTCCCACGTACGCTTTGTTCCTTGTCGTCGAACCACTCTGACTGAATGTCCTCAAGATACGCCTACACACACGACACACGACGCAGTGGGGGTTTGCATGGCATGGGTGTGGTGTGTCCCTCTCTCTCTCCTCCCGACCTCGACTTACCAGTACAGGCTCATCGTGTGTTTCAATCATGTCGGCCAGCAACCGGTGGTTCTTCAGAGCCGTCAACCAAAACTTGGGCAGACCCTGCACACACACACACACGGCAGCACACATATAGTTCACTGTCTGTTCCCAACTCGTATATGTGTGTGCATGCGTCTGTCTGTCTGTCTGTCTGTCTGTTACCGCGGTGCCGATGTGGACATCGGTCTCCTCCTTGTCTTGTGTCTTGTCGCTGTCGGGTGCCTGCGAGTCGTCCTGACTCGCCTGAGTCGTGCCGTCGCTGGGCACTGTGCTCTCGTCCTTCTTAGTCAGCACCGAGTAGCGCTGCAACCCACGCACACACCGACATTCATTTACACAAAGACATTCACACCTCAGTCACGTGGAATGTTCGAGAGACTGTGTCGGATCTGCCTACCTTCCTGTAGATGGGGTCCTTGAGCTTCTGGTACTTGGTCTTGAGCTCGTTCCACTCCTCGCGGTACTGCTTCTCGATCTCGTCGTGCTGCTTCTGCACACACGCAGCGCAGAGATGGGGGATCTCCACATGCGGCAGGGCGGGCGGCCATGCTATCTCGTGTGTGCTGACGTGCAGATCTCGGAGGTCGTTGAGAGTCTTCTTCTCAGAGTCAGACAGCTTGTCTGTGACAAACACAACCACACACAGAGAGAGACGAAGGCGTCCTCCTCGCGGCCCGGTGCTGTGACCCGCCACAGCACGTCCATCCTGAGGCGTACCGAGTGCGAGATTGAACATGCCATTCGTCACCTCCTGCACCTGCTGATCAGTCTACACACACGCACAGACCAAACACCAGGGACGCGACATGAGTGCACCGAAGGAAGAGCTCATGTGTCCTGTACCATCTTGAGGCGAAGATCTGCAGACGGGTCACCACGATGCTCTTGCCCCTCACCAGAACAATGCCCAAGCACAGCGCAGTTTCCACACCTTTTGAGCTCGCAATGGCGATCGGAAAATGCTGCTGATCGGAAAATTCCGCTGTTCCCGTGTTTGTTTTCGAGGCATCCATCAACTCTCACGGCGTGGATCTGACGACTGTAGCATACAATGGCCTGATAGTCGATAGCCTTGACTTTCCCGCCGGCATCTGGTGGCGATGGATTCAGTAGCGAAGAGAAGGCGGCTCACGTCCACAGAGGTGAGGGCAGCACTGCCTTGACGAGCCAAACCTGTCCATTCAATGCATGTGTCGTTCCATTCATCCATCGTTCAGTCGGAGTCAGTCGCTGCGGTGCTGTGTGGCGTTGAGGACAAGTACGAGCATGTGTTGCAGGAGATCAAGGCACTGCGCCGACAGTTGAGGAGCGAGTATGGGCAGACGGCCGTTGCTGCATCCATGGATTGGGGTCTTTCATGACTTCTCGGTGTACAGGCCGGTGATGTGCTGGCACTCAAGCAGCGGCGGGAGCAGGCCGTCGGCAACGACATGTGCCCGAACGTAGCTAAGGTGACCTACAAGATGACACACCGACCACGGGGACGAGATATAATTGCCTGCGCACATGCGTATCTTCTTATGTGCAGATGGTGTTTTTGGACTATGAGAGGCTCAAGGTCCTGCTGTCCAAGATAGCCCCAGCCGATACCCCGCCCAGCACACAGGACATCCTCATCGGTATCGCACAGCAGAAACTGACTGCGATGACACACAACCTACGCCTAGATGTAAGCAGCAACACAAACCGATGGATACACATGCACAGGTTGGGCAGCCCTGTCACTTTTGTGCTCCGCGTGTTGTGCTCTGTTCAGTCGTTGGCCCCTTCGCTGCTCACCCTCCCTGACGCGCTGCTGTTTGACCGACTCGGCCCCCTCGTCGGCACCGAGTCCATCATCGGCGGCCTGGCACGGGCCCACTCGTCGTTCCTTCGTCCCTCCCACGACCCCGACATGCACACCACCGTCACCTTTATGGCCGACCGCGCCATCCACCCCACCGACAAGCAACTGGAGGCATGGGTGCCCCGGCTGGCCAAGACGTCGCGGGCGGTTGTGCGGTGTCACATGACCATGGGGATGGTGAACCTTCTTGAGTGCATTAGCGAGACCCTCGAGAGTCTGGAGGCGGACAGCACATCAACAGAGCCACACGAGATCGATCTTTTGGATCTGAACAGCGAAAAGGAGCCGATATTCCCCCGGTTGAAGACAGTAGCAGTGGGCGGGCGGTGGGCGTGGGTCAAGGAGCAGCGCTACTGGGACCTACGGTGCGTGAGTCTTACAAAACACAATTCAGCCAGAGAGTCTGGTACTCCAGACAGACAGGCACCGATTGAACACTCCCTCTTGTCTCTGTGTGTGCGCCACAGGTCGCTCGAGTGTCTGAAGCTGCGCAAGCAGAGCATGCAGGAGAGGATCGCCCACAACCACGAATTCGACCCCGACAGTCGCTACGGGGAGCTCTGACTGTTCTGGCGCACGAGCGTGCCCACCATCCTCCTGTCGCCTCCCTTTGCGTGGAGTGCACGTGACGCGATGGGCCTCGTGGCGGATATCGTCGTCGAGCAGGTGATCTTGTTGTCCCCACTTAGAGGGGCGACGAGCGTTGTGCATGGATGCGTGTGTGTCTGCTCGCGTGTGTGTGTGTGCTCAAGCAGGTGTCGAGCTTCAGCATCACTGCGGACGAAGTCAACCAGAGGGGCTGGATTGAGCGGGGCTGGATTGACGACTTCGATACGCCGGTGGGGTTGCTCAAGGCCATCGAAGCCACGATCAACGTCAGACAGATCACCCCAAGCATCATATCGGTGAGTGACCAATGCATACACACAATAAAGTGGCCATTTTCAATGCATCCTATGTTTCCTGCTGGTGTCACAGTCACTGGATACTGTTCACAAGTACTGTGTGGACCCTCACGGCAAGGAGGACTTCAGCAGCAGCGTATTCGACTTCCCCTTCACCCTCCTCTGGCACACACAGCCTGGCAGCCCCATCCGCAGGATCTACGACGACGAGAACCCCATATTCATATCATCCACCCTCACCCTGGCGGCCTCCCTCGCCACATCGGTGACCTTCCCCACCAGCCTCGCACAGGACAACGTCATCCCGGCCTTCTACTTCCTCCTGCCCAAGCTGGTCTTCACGTCAGCCCGCACCCTCACCCTGCAGCCGGCCACAGACACCGACAACCCCCTCCCAGAGCCACTGCTCTTCAGTCTCGGCCGCATCTTCCCAGCAGTGCGGTGTGTCGACCTGGGCAAGGCGCACCAGCTGGCCGAGGAGGCCGTCGTCAACGTGATAGACGACCTCCCATCGCTGCGGGTGGCGCGTTTCGCCCGCCCGCCGGGTTTCATGGGTCGCGTGCCGATCAGACGCGACAGTTTTTTCCTGCCATCGTATCTGCGCAGCTGCTCGGGCGACGGGCCACTGCTGCAGGTCAAGGGGGCGTTTCAGTCGCGTTTTGATGGTAGCGAGAGTTGGTCACTGTGGGAGGGGGAGGGGGAGGGGGAGGAAGAGGAAGACGAGAGTAGTGAGGAAGATTCGGCTAGCGAGGCTGAGGTGCCGGTTGGCCAGACAGGCGGGACACGTTGGCGAGTTGAGCATCGCATCCGGCGGATTAGCGTTTATTTCTCGGCTGGCTATGCGCCTGAGCCAGAGGGGATATGGCTAGACAGGCCGGCCTTCACGGATTTGTTTGACACATGCATCAAGGCCATCACCGCACTGCCCAAGCTAGAGCGCATCACACTCACCACCGACGACCCATTCCCAGGCTATCTGCTGCACGAGTGTGGGTGGTGTGGCGTGGGGAATCGGCTGAGCCTTCACGGGTTCGACGCTGTGCAGGCAGGCCCCTGTAGTGTCGAGCTGTATCGGGATGGCCAGCCCATCACGGAGGGCCAGCGACTGATCACTGACTACTTCTCGCGTGTCGATAATAGCAATGAGATGGTTGACTAGATGGGTGTACTGGCTGGTGGCGTGTGGGGGGTGTGTACAAAGGAAACATTCATGTTTGTGCCTGCCGCCGTTTGTTGCATGCGATGCCATCGTGGTTTTGAGGGTCCATTCCAGCGCCCCCTCTTAGCTTGTCTCTCTGCTTCTTGTCTTCCTGGCCGATCCACCGGCCAAAGTCGAGAAAGAGTAGTTGGACAGTGTGCAGAGGAGCGCGTCTGTGCCGCTCAGATGCACACATATCCTGACTGACTGATGCTCCATTTCCTCACTGCACACCTGGCTGGTGTCGGAGCGAGTTGTGTAAAGACCGTCGATTCGATGTGCGCAGCTCTGACAGTGTGTGTCTGTCTATATCTTCGCTTGAGAGACCGCCACGTCGCGGCCACACATGGGAGCGAGGATGAGGACACACAAGCGACGTTTGACTTGCATCAATTTTGAGACTGGGCAGCCAGGGATTGGGTGAGAAGGATGACCCGATAGAGATAGATTGAGCTCTAGCTGTTCAGACAGACAGAGGGAGAGATAAGGATGGGTGGATGGAGTCGCCGGGTATGGGTATGGCAGTCAGACAGACAGAGGGAGAGACCGTCGGAGGATTGACAGGCTGACAGATGGATCGACCAGCTAGATGAGCGAAGGATTGCAACGCTCCCCTCCCCCCGGTCGCACAGCAAGGCACCATCCATGTACAGATGGGACCATTCGTGTACATATCTATGTAAATCGCTGAGACTGGGGGCGACAGTTCTGAGACGCCCCGCGCTTCGCTGCCGCTGACGGAAGCCAGCGAGGCGTGGTTCCACGAGTTGCCTTTGTGCCCATTCTGGCTCGGTCAATAACATGTGGGTGGCTTCGGCTGTGATCCTCTTGTCATTGGTCTGGCCAACCATATGCATCAGCCGAGAAGGAGGCCCCGGCCTGCCATCATTTGCACTGAGACGGACAGCCTTCGCCGACAGTGCAAAGGCTTGGCCCGGAGGCATCCTGGAGGAAAATGCCGCTCAAGCACGGCCACATGCCACTAGCAATGGCATTTTCATCCTGGAGCCCCCCAAGCTGGACGAGCAATGCCTGGCGGACATCAAGAAGATCTGCCAGACGAAATATGTCTACTGCGACATACTGCAGGTATGTACTTGTGTACCTCTGTATACGTTGATGCAGTGATGCGTTCAACTTGGTGCAGGTCGAGGATAGTTTTACCTTCTGGAAGGACGGTGCAGTCAGGAAGTCACTTGCCCGAATGACCGACGGGGCGGAGATCGTCGTTGCCGGTGTGACGTACAGAATCAAGGTCTCGGCTGGATATTTTGGCATGGCAGTCTTCGCTGACGTCGATATATCGATGGGTGTGTGGGCGGGTGTGTGGGTTGGTGCGTGGGGTGTACATTTCCTTTGTTGTCGTACATTTCATTTGTTTTGTCGATGTAGCCGGCATCCAAAGGCCTGTGGGGTTCCCTGCTCACAAGCTCAAGAGATACACGTCACCAGGCAAAGCGAGACACAGCTGACTGAGCCGTGCCATGCATATGTCTCCGTCTGTCATGTGCGGTCAGATGATGAGCCGGTTAGGCTGATGCCAGTGGTCATCAAGGTGGCCAACATCGCGCACAAGGGCATGAGAGAGCTGCTGGCAGAGAAGAGGGCATACGAGCATCTGTGGCAACACATACAAGACGGGGCCATCGACCAAAGCAGCTTCCCTGAAATCCCCCGTTTCTACCCAAACCCCATTCCGGGACGCCTGGCGAGCTACCTTATTATCGACCAGATGGACGGCATTGCCCTTGGCGAGGTGCTCGCGATGATGCGGAACCGGAAATAGACCCCACTGAAAATGTGCCGGTGACGGGCGGACTGTCGCTTGTTGACGGCAGTGAGGAGCTATTCCCCACTGAGATGCCTTTGGGACGCTTTCTGATTCTCCTGCTTTTAGAAGGACTCTACCAAACGCACCGAAACAAGATTCTACACTGCGACATGAACGAGTCCGTGAGTACCTACGCACACAAACAACACACAAGAGACACACACACGTCTTTGCCGTGCATTGCCTTGTCCACACGTGCTGGACAGGGGAAACATTCTGCTGTCCCTTCGCCCATCGAGCGCCATCAAGATGCCTTTCGGCATACACATCTCAGGCAAGGTTCGTTCGTACGAGCATTTATATAGCATTTAATTGGTGCACGTGTGTGACGTCACCCTGCCCGTGGATGCAGGCGGGCAAGATGCTGCAGACGGAGATATCTGCACACAACCTTCAGCTGATTGATCTGTCCAGAATAGCTGACGTTACTGACCGCTTTGTGGCCGAAGAGTGCAAAGACAAGACACAATTCGATGGTTCCTCGGTTGGCAGGCATCTCTTTGGCATCCTGCAAATCATGCTTATGCGCACCCCGGCCGATGCCAACGCCATGAGCATGATGGCTGTGGTGCTGGATCCTAGCAAATCATGTTTCGTCCACAGTTGCGACGCCCCACCTCTTCTGATCCGCCAATGGCTCAACACAGACCAATATCTTGAGGCCGCCCCAGGTACGCACACACATACAACAAACAAAGATATCTCATGTGTTGTCTAACTCTAAGTGCCTGTCTCGGGCAGAGGTACGTGCCCGAGTGGAGGAGTACCTGAAAGGCGTGGCGCAGTTCTTCTCAAGAAGTGGGAAGGACCACCGGGGATACTACAGCAGACATCCACAGGAGAGACGCCCGACTTTGGCGGCGGACGACACAAGTGGAATTCTGGATTGGATGATTTCCACTTGTTCGGTCCTGGGGGAGGAGACATTCATGCGGGAGATGGCCGCTATTGCACTCAGTGGTGGCAAAACGACAAGGATGAAATCGATTTCAGCTGCCTACATACCAGAGGGATGGGAGTGACGATGGGAGTGAGCGATGAATACGAGGCATGGATTTCGACGCGTGTTCATAAGTGCGCGACCGGGACAAGACTCAGCGTCATTGTACAACTCCATGCAGACAAATGCGTCGCTTTGTCAACGGAATGGGGCGTCAGGGAAACCCAATAAGTCGTTTCTGACATAGTTCACAGCAGCCGACAGAAATCCCGGCCGCTACTCAGACACCTCTACAATGGCACTCACAGCCCCATTATCGGTAATGATCCCTATCAGCACCACCAGCGCATCGATGGCCGCTCCCAGGATGAGGACATAGACAAGCGATGCATGAATTCATCCAGGACCTGGCCCCAGAATTCCAGGCAGTCTTGAATGAAGTGCTTCGCACCATTGCAATCAGAAGGCTGCAGCTCTTGACCGCTGCCTTGCCAGCTCGATGACAGGAGCCTTGAAAGAACTCAGGCGATGAATTCAGTCCGAGGAAATCTCCCGGGCTTGGGGGCCACCGCTAGCTTGCCGGCGTCTCGTCCGTTCTCTTTTATAGGTCAGCCTTCTGAGCCGTCCCCGCGATGGAGCGTGAGCTGTACAGGTACCCCTCATGCAGTCTGTGCGTATGTGTGACATTGTCCGTCTGGGTGTGTGCGCTGATGGCGTCAAGTGGTGCTGACTGCTGTGATTGGTGCTGCAGGTGGCTGCAGTCCCTTGACCTTTCCTACTCGGTCAAAAACGTCAGGAGGGACTTCTCAAATGGTGCAGTGCACACCCATTCCATTCAGCCCCACGTGGGCACAGGGAATGAGCATTGAGAGGCCTGCCTGTCTGCTGTGTGTATTCCTTTTCCTTCGTGTGCCAGGTTTCCTTGTTGCTGAGATTTTCTCCCGCTATTACCCGCAGGATGTGACGCTGCACTCGTACGACAACGCCTCCAAGCTGGCGGCCAAGAACAACAACTGGGAGCAGCTCTACAAGTTCTTCAGGCGGAAGAACATCCCACTCAACAAGAGCGACTTCGAGCCCGTCATCTACTCGGCACCTGGTCAGTCAGTCAGCAGCCACACCCACCATTCATTGGCAACACAGAAGTCACAACAGTATGGTCCTTTTCTCTGCGCATGGTCGTATCGCAGGTGCGGCCATCATGCTGCTGAACAAGATATACAACTTCCTCACCAAAAGGGCAGCCGACCGGTTCCAGGCGGAAGACATCATCGGCAAGACCCTCCAGGACCCCTTGCTGCTGGCCACTGCCAACCTGAGGGGCGCCCCGGTGACGGACGAACAGCCCCTCTACGCCAAACCCACCGCCTCGACACTGCTCAGAGACGCCGAGATCAACCGAATCGAAGACAAAGAGAAAATGACGGCCAGGGCCGAACAAGTTCTGCAGGCGCACAACGAGGTTTGCAAGAGAGATCTGTCGGAAGCGGTACTAGACTCCTTTGTGTCTCTTGCACGCTCAGAATTTGTCCTACGAGAGGAGCAACGAGCGCATGTTGCAGAGTATGAGGCCGCGGATTCAGCAGCTGGCTGTGGCGGCAGCGCGAGCCCCCTCGTCCAAGGCCATCAGCCCAGAACCCGACATCACCAATGTCGAAATCAAGGAGGTACACCTGGAGGCAAGACAGCGTTTCGTCTCTATTGATTGGATTCATGGATGCTGTTTGGCCTGCCTGCAGGTGGAGGTAGCGTCTATTGCGCAGGGCGGCACCATAGCACAGCTGAGGGCGCAGAAAGACCTGCAGCAACAGACTATCAAGTGGGAGGGAATGGAGAAGCGGAGATTTATGGGAGAGCACCTGCATGTGTATGCATGTCGTGTCGTCAGATCCCGTTCATCTCAGAGGGGAAGAGAGTCGGCACTGGGCAACATCGAGGTGACACAATGACACAATAACGCCAGATACAGAGAGATACATGTGTCTCGGTGTCTGTGTGTGTCCCTTCCTGTGCCTGTGCAGTCCATGGCGCAGGCCGCCCCCGTCCCACAGGCCATCAGTAAGGGGCAAGATAGTTTGATCGAATCATTTGCTGGCAAGGGTGGGGTGAGAGTTGGGTGTTGGCTGTCCTTCAGCTGTGAAGCCCGTGCAGTCGATTCTGAGTGCACTCATGAGGCCGGCCCTCAGAGAACACCCTGGTGTGTGCGTCATACACATAGAGCTGCATCAAGATAGACCAGTGTGTGCTGTGCTGTCTGGTCTGTCAGATGTCCAGAAGGCCCTCGATCCCCGGAGGGACGCCTTCTCCTCTTTCATGGAGATATGTGCCAGCGCATTCCCTGAGAGTCAGTCAGAACGGGCCGATAAACAGACCACACATACACATACACACACACACACACACACATCACCTTTTGTTTCCTTGTCTGTCTGCAGATGTGTGTGTGGGTGTCTTCGACACCGTTGCGAGCAGGGCGTCGCTGCTCACCGATTCCCTCATCAAGAGCCCCACTGTGAGAATGATTGCAATCACAGTTGACGAACTCATGGGTTCTCGACCTTTCTGCATGTATGTATGCCTCCATTTTCAGGAGTTCTGGAAAGCTTGGACCCTCATCTACCCTGGTAAGCAAGACTAAAACACACAATTGAAGAAACAGGGAGTAGATAATCCATTCGACAGAGTCTCTTCGCCCGTGCATTTCCACACACACATCACATGTATGTGCGCAGCCTTGTGGGAGTTCAGCGGGTCCTCGCCTGTGTTCGAGTCGATCGTCTATCTGCTCAAGCGCATTGCAGAGTGTATCAGAAACGCCGACCCGCTCCTCACACAGCAGGTGCCCATCCACGCCTCCACGCTCACAGAATCAAATTCCCAGGACCCCTCGTTTCTTCCATGTCATGCAGTATTTGATGGACGTGATCCTCCCGCAAGTGGCGCCGATCCTGGCCGCATCCCCAGGGAGGCGGGAGGCCTTGTGTGAGGTGCTGTACGCCTATGCACAGGAGACACCCGCCGCACACCTCGCTCTCCTCAGGGGACTCAAAGTCAGTCGCATCACGATAGATACGCAAGTAGCGACCGACCGGGATGGCTTCTCTTGTGTTGTGTGTTTGGTTGTGGACACAGGACAAGCTTGCGAGCGTGGCGTCGTATATTCTCTGTCTCTCATTTTTCGTCCCTCTCGACGAGACACACATGGTCAGAGCGAACAGAATGTCCACGCGAAGCGATCAAGGGCAGAGAGAGAGATATACGGGTTTGGCGCGTACGTGTGGCCAACGTCCGTATCCGTGTGGTGTGTGTGCACAGGACGACCATCTGCTCGATTTGGCCCTTTACTATGCCTTGATCGGTCTGAGCCAGCCGCAGCCGTCTCTGCGCGTGGCGGGCCTGTCCATCCTCAACGGCCTGGCCAACATGATGGGCGACCAATATGCCGCTATCCTTAACCTGCTGCGTACAAATGCACCGCCCCACAGACACGTACACTCTCGACGCACATGTGTGTGTGTATGTGTTTGCCACACACACCTACAGCGACCTTGATGGATCTGGGGAGCGATGAGTGGTGGGAGGTGGAGGCCCAGCTGATGGTCCTCACGTCCACCCTGCTGCTGAAGCTGTCCACCAACCACCCAGAGGTCACCCAACACCTCGCACACAAGTCCATCGCGCCACCCCCGATGCCGACACGCAGCGAGCAGCGGCGGGCGTCCACCACACCACCGCTGGCCCTTGCGGCGCCACTGGATGTGGTGCTGGGAGAGGGGGAGGGGGAGGACGAGATTGAGGCCAAGGAGAACGCCATGATGATTGAGTATGCCGAGCAGCTGCTCATGCTCGTCGCGAGGACCTTCCAGCTCTCCAAATCAAAGTGCGGACGTATGTACGTGTGGAGTGAGTGGCTGGACCACCTGCTGGTGCTGTGCTGTTTCTCTCCTGTTTGGTTCAGGAATGTGTTGCAGATAGGATTGTGTTGCCTTTGTCGGAACCTTGACGCCTTCCCCTCACTGGCCGACATCTACATCACAGTACGTACAGTCAGTGAGTCGACTCCCATCCACGTTTGCTCACACACGTCTCGCTTGCCACAGGTGTTGCTGGCCCATCCCGCCCCGATGCGTCAGCGGCTGCTGATGCCGCGGGGCGAGGGCGCGGAGACACAGGCGCCAAGGCTCGCATACGTGAGTCAGCAGGAAGATCGCGGTCGCTCTCCTGCTTCCATCACATCACATGACATTGTCGTTTGTTTGTCTGTGTGTGTCGTGCAGGTGATGGGTGCGGCGTCTCGGCTGTATGAGGAGCCATACCTCCCCGCACTCTGGTCTGTCGGCCTCACCTAACACGCAGGCGCCGCCCACACAGATTGAATCTTGATTGAACGAATGAATGATCGGACTTGCAGGCCGTCGCTGAAGGTGGCCAAGGCGTTCTGCTCACAGGCAAGTCAGACCACCACGCCACGCCTCACGCAAAGCCACCTGTTTGTCGTCCATGTGCACAGCTGGAGGCCCGATCGCTGACGCATTTCGAGTTGGAGCACCTGGAGGTCCTCATCGCTACGCTTCCAGAAGACGGTAAACAGGGCGAGACACGCAGAGAACCTGTGTCTCTGTCTGTCTGATTTTATCCGTCGATCCATTGATCAGACTTCGCTGCGTCAAGTGAGGTGATATCCGACTGGCTTGACCTCTTCGACCGTCTCAAGGCATACATATTCGTCGCTCTCATCGAGGAGGACTTCCACGACCACGCCGCACAGATCGTGAGTATCCGTCCATCCATCTGTCCATCGACACGATGTGACACAGAGATACATATGTCTGTCTCGTGTATGTGTGTGGGACGCCCGGCAGATAGCCAAGTTCTGGTTGAGTGGTGTGGAGGAGCTGCGGACGCCGGTGCTCGACGCGAGTCGGAAGACGCTGCTGCAGACGCTGAGGATACTCTACAGCGAAGGCATCGAGCGATCAAAGGCACTGATGGATGGATGGCTGGACGGGAGGGAGAGGGAGGGAGACACGCGTGGACGGTCGACGATGCATCCCTGTGTGTGTGTATCAGGTTGCCGAGAGTGTGCTTGTTGAGTTCCTGCAGGACATCCACAGCGAAGGTAGGACGGCAAAAGAACAGGAGCGGCTCATGTCATGTGTGGGCATTTTCTCTTTCTGTTTGGTCCTGTCAGGTCCGCCCGTGTCTGAGCTGATCGACGACGTGCTGCAGATGTACAAAAAGGTAATAAGAGGCAAGAAAGCGCTAGTATATGTGTGTGTGTGTGTGTGACCTGGTCTCTTCTTTCGTGTGCCCAGTCTGACCCCGATGGCTTCGCCTCAACCAACCTGGTGCACTTCATATGAACAGCTGGGTACATCTGTGTGTGTGTGTGTGTGTGTGTGCTCGTGGATGGACGAATGGGATGTTGTGTGCCTGCGCGTATCCATGTTTGAATGCCTCCTCCTCCGGAGACTCATGCCCCGCAATATGAACAGCTTAGCTAGCTGGATTCGTTTGATGGATAATACGTGTGGGTCCGTCCGCTTGTCCAAAGAACCAAGACCTCCGTCTCTGTCATGTCTGTAATGATGCAAGTATGCAGGTCATAATTACACACCGAGAAGGCAAGGCAGACAAGGCAAGGTAAGGCGAGAGGTCAGAGGGGTCGGTCGGTCGGTCGGTTGAGTAAAATACACAGAGAGCATCGTGATGAGGATGATGACGTATGGCGAATTCACAGACACACAGACGGATAGACAGAGAGAGAGACAGAAAGACAGACGGACAGACGGACAGACAGACGGACAGACGGACAGGCAGGCTGCAAAGCCTCATCCGGAGAGCGGCCGCCCCCACGGATGGGTGGATGGATGGATGCCAGAAACAAACGAGTGACAGCAGCACAACAGCAGGTATATCAAATACGTCAGCCCCTCTCGGCCATGCCACTCACCTGACCTTTCCGTAACCTGTTCGCAATGTACATGCATTGAATGGGCATCGATCCCATTCTCTGCGTGTACGCCACCAGCAGGAAACGGCAAGGAACAGCTGACATGGCTGGCAACAAGGAGCACTAGCGGGACACACCACACCACACCACCATAACTGCACAAAAAGTGAATTCTCACTCTCATCGATTCATGGATCGTCCACTGGTCGCCACGCCACTAGTCAAATAAGCCATCCATCCATCCGTTTGCACCATCATGATGCAGGAAGGGAAGGCATGCACTAAGCTCACGTAAGCAAAGAAAGCACCCATCCATCCATCCACACCCTTTCACATGGCCACAGCAGCAGCATCGAATGGTACAAGCCAGCCAGCCAGCCAACCACCCTCACCCACTACGTACCCACCCCGCCACACACATACAGTCCACATACAGATCGTTTCCAACGTGCACCGCGCCCAAGCACCGTCAGGTCTTCTGTCCGAAGTTGACAGGACTGTCGTTGGGCACAGACACAGACGGGCTCGCATCCTCGGCGGCAGCACCAGGATGCTGCTGCCGTCCCATCCCCCTCTCGCCCACCCCATTGCACGCCGGCTGCGTGTGGGCCCCATCCGTCACATTCACACCCACACCACCCTCGCTCCCGCCGCGCCTCCACTGTGTTGGTGTGTCGGTGTTGTCATTCTCGCTCTGCGCCGGCCTGTGTGCGTGTGCGGTTGTGGCGGGGCTGGGTGCGGGGAAGTCCTCACCGACAGACATGTTGGATGGGGGAGGGGCCTTGGATGGGCCTGAGGGGGCGGGGGCGGGGGCGCTGCTGCTGGTGGTGTCGGTGTTGGTGTTGGTGTGGTTGTGGGTGCTGTCTGAGGATGACGGGCGCCGCCCTGACCTCTCGGCCTCTGCAAGGGACATCCGGATGGCCTGCTGGATCAAGGCGCACTCCTGCACACACACACGGACACACACGACAGCAGGTCAACTCATTGATTGATGGCGCTTCTTATGCGGGTGTGCGCGTGTGTGCAGACGAACGGACCTCTTCATCGTCCACGGCAAAGTCTGGCGTGAGGATGGAGTGGCCGGCATTCTGACAACCATACCACACACGTAGTGCCACGGCTATTGCGTTTTCCCTCTCCGCTAACGTCTCTTTCGAAATGGAAGGTCTGCTGCGGCGGCTGCATCTCGTGACGGTGCGGAGGGCGGTCGCGAGCTGACAACCACAGGGCATGAACGTGTGTGTGTGTGTGTGTGTATGTGTGTGTTGTGATGGCTTACGCGGCGATGGCTGCGTCTGGGCTCTCTTGGGAGAGACCCCGGAGACTGCCCCCGCGGCCAACAAACGACTCATATCCACACCCTGCAGACCAGACACGCAGAAGACACACAGAAGGGCAGACAGCGGCCCTTGATGGCTCTCTCGCCTTGTGCCGGCATATATACCTACCTGTGTTTCAGTGAGGTTCTGTGCGGGCGACCGGCCGCCCCTCCTGTCGCGGGAGGGAATCATCGAACACTGCACTCACACACACACACGTGTCGAGGAATCCCGCGTGGTTCGTGTGTGTGTGTGTGTGTGTGTGTGTGACCTGTAGTGTGGTGTGGAAGAAGAACATGATGCTGTTATTGAGGAACTGGGGGCGGGCCGAGTTGTGGTCGCCCTCACATATCACCATGTTCTGTGGAAGCAAGCACATGAGTGTGTGGCCGCATATGTGTGTGTATGTGGGTGGGTTTGTGTGACTGACTTTGTCTCCTGAGTATCTGTCGTGCAGGTCTTTGGTGTGGTGTGGCTGGATGAACTGGTCGCCCTCGCCTGCGATGAACAGCGCTGCAACCAAACCTCGCACAGAAACACACGTGCGTGTGCGTGTGTGTGTGTGTGGCCAGTGGTGACGTCTGTTCTGTGCAGGTCCATGCCCACACCTGGTATGAAAGTCTTGTCGACATGGTTGATGGGCGTCAGCTTGTCGATGTCAAACGCTGCCTTGCTGGATATCGTCATGCGAATCTGACACACACACACACACACACCAGGTGTGTGCGCGCTTCTGTGTGTCCGTCAGTCAGTGGTTTGCTTACGAATGCCATAGCGGTGCCGATGAGCCACTTGGGCATCTTCCACTTGACGTAGGTGTCACACAACTCCTCAGCCAACAACCTGACGACACACACAGCACAAAACACGGCACAGCCACACACTGGTGGATGTGTGTGTGTGTGTGTGTGTGTACCTGAGGCTGGCGAAGGGCGAGTCGAGGACCATGCCGCCGATAGATGGGTCTCGGTCGCCGTGCAGCAGAGCCGTCACTGCCAGCCAGCCAATACACACATGTCATCATGTGTGTCAATTAACGGCTGGCAGCACCCACCGCATCACTCACTGCGGTGGGTGTGTATGTGGGTGTGCCTATTGCCTTTCCTAACCTGCGCCCATGGACCTGCCCCACAGCCCGATGCAGGTGGTGCGATTCGACTCCCGCAGATACGATACCACCTGACCGACCGGCCGGTCGATACAGATCGATGCACACCGACACACACACACATGCTCGATGGCACCACGTCCTGCGATGGGTAGCGTACCGCAGCGACGTCGTCCCTCTCCCAGTATCCGAGGGAGATGTACTCGCCCTCCGACTGCCCCGAGCCCGAAAAGTCAAACGCGAAGACCGTTATGTGGTTGGGCAGCAACACGCTCAGGCTCGTCACTGACACATACACATACACACAATACAGTGCGCACACGCGTGTGCGGCTGTAAGTGGATCAGGTCAGCAGCAGGGGTGCGGTGTGGTGGTGTGGTGTGCTTACGCGCTTCGAGCCTGGATGAGCAGTTGCCGTGGAGGTAGATCACACACGGCAGCTTCTCGGCTGGACGCTCCCTGCCAGGCAGGCAGGCAGGCAGGTAGGCACAACACACACACAACACACATACACGTGTGAGTGTGTGTGTGTGTGCCTCTGCGGGCGTGTATCTCTCTCTCTCTGCTTATCATACTCTTGCACAGGTTCGAAATGGCTGCATTTGAGCGTCAGGCCCCGGGAGCCCTTCAGGTTGATATCTGCACACACACACAGATGATGCCAGATGGATGGATGGATGGATGGCGCTGTGTGCCCCTGTGTGTGTGTGTGCGCGCCTGTTCGCTGATAGTTGTAGTCCCCGATAGTGAAGACCGTCGGGCCAAGATCCTCCACCTGCAGCACACCAACAGACAGGGAGAGGGAGGGAGGGGGGAGGGAGCGACTGCCGAGTCACGCCGAGGACGACAAACTGATATCGTACTGAAATGCGCGACCTGGTAGTTGTCCCTGGGCGGCCGGATGATGGCCTTCCACAACTCAGCATAGTGCTCCGACCACTGACACACGCATCACACGAACACCATTCTCAGCTTCGTTCGCCACCCACGCAAAGGCGCAGGCGGCTCGGCTGCTCTCTCACCCTGGAGAACATGGCCGCTGGCAGGGCTGCCCTTCCTCCCACACAGGCAGAGACCTTACTGAGGCGCTGGTCTCCTCTCTGGCTTCTGCACCGACGACTGCTGGCGATGACGTGTTGCTCTGAAGGTGATCAGGAGGTCCCTCCTCTCAGTGCTGGCGCATTGATGGCGTCACGCATCTCTCAACAAACCTCCAACTCTACTCAAACACAACGCGGTGACGATGCGAGCTGATTTTCGGAGCTCGCAGGATGAGGTGGGGGAAGCGGAGCACACACATTTGTCGGCACTGATGCTGCAGGTGGCTGGGGCGAGTCTTTGTGTTGAGTGATGCTGTACAGTTTTTATTTGTATTACCGTCACTACTGCGTGTACCATGAGGCCTTCAACCACGGGAGGGTGGCCAAGGACCTGCGGGGCGACCAGAAGCTCATCAGCGGGCTGCTCTTCTCCATGAAGTCATTCTGCCAAAAGATCAACCCAAAAGAGTGAGTACACACCAGTGACTGGGGAGGGAGTGCCTCAGTGCCTGCCTGCCCCTGTCTGTGTGTCTGTCTGTCTGTGTGCGTCAGTTTGGGTCCGAATGCGTTGGGGAATCCCTTTCGGTCGTACAGCACGCCCGAGTACAAGCTGCACTACTTCGAATCTCTCAGCGGATATAAGGTCAGTCAGGTCGACCAACCGGAGAGAGAGGAGATGCAGAGCCGATGGACAGACACGCCATGGATGGATGGTTGGCTGCGTCCGTCGTGCGATTGATTGGTGATGTTTCTGTCGTCGTGTGGTGTGCAGCTGCTGTTCATGACGGACCCCTCGGTGCCCCTACTCAGAGAGCTGCTCAGGTCCGCCCGTCACTCACACCACAAATAACCCATACGCACACACAACGGGGCCGATTTGCGGTGTGTGTGTGTCATTGGTTGATTCATTCATCAGTTTCATCTACGGCAGTTTGGTAGTGGAGCAGATCATCAAGAACCCCACATTTGACATCGGCGAGCGGCTGACGGGCCACCCTCTGGCGCCGGCATTCTCCAAGGCCCTCAACGACTGCGTGCAGGCCACACCTTTCTTCGCTTCACTGCCTCAGTAGATAGACAGACAGACAGACAGATGGTGGTAGAATGGTGAGTGCTTGCAATGCGCCGTGTGTGAAGTACATGTATACATAGCTGGTCGGTCGGCCAGCCTGCGTGTGAGTTGACTTCGCTCGGTTTTGTGTGGACCAACCAGAAAGACCAATCCAGCATCAATCAATCTGTCCGTCCCCTCCCCTGAAATCAGCCGACAGAGGCACAACAAAGGGTTTGGCACAGGTGCATCGACGTATCTACACCTACCCTTGTCGATGTCCACAGATCACCTCAGCTCACACACACGCACCTACGCACATGCTTCAATCCACACGTATGTGGTCGGTCGGTCGGCTCATCACATACATGGTCGGCAGCCGTGTGCCGTGCTGCGGTACAAGATCTCTGCCGGCCATCGCTCCCTCGCCACCTTGGATATCGGCAACGAGGGAGTGATGACCGCGTGGAATCTCACACCACAGCACAGCCGCCATTGCAACTCCAAATGCAATGGAATCCTCGCTCCATATCGACCGTATTGCAGACACATCCTTCACCATTATTGATGCATTTCACTGCTTGACGGCAATGGCATCGCTGGTCTGATTCTGCCCGCGGCCCGAAACGTGTGATGGTCTCTCGCGACGTCAGAGGAACCATCATCCGTTTCGGTCGGAGACTCAAAGCAGCCCAGCGGTGCCACGTCAGAAAACCGCCACACACAAATATATACATGGAGCGTCTCTCCCTCTCCATCTCTCGTTGTCGCTGCCTAAGTCATGTGGACGACAGGCTCTCGACAGGCCCCACCGGCACGAAGTCCTGAGGGTCGAACGGGGGCTCCTCCTCATACTGACCGCTCGCCGCCGGCCAGTCCTTCTTGTGCTTCTTCGCAGGCACTGGCCGACCCACACCACCACCACCACCACTCACACGCCTGCATGGCCACAGACACACACACACACATAGGTCGAAGGCCCCCTTGTTCTTAAGAGGAGCGCATGGCTTCCTACGTACCTTGGCAGCTGCAGCTTCATGACGGGCCCCGTGTCGCCGTCTTTGTGGACGAAGGGGACGCCCGTCAGCTCGTGGCGTGTGAGGACGATGTTCTGCTGGTCCGTTTGGGAGTCGTCACCATGGTGGCGGAGGTCGGCCAGCACGCACACGTCGAACAGAGGCCAGTGGGGGAAGCCGCCAAGCCGAAACGCCTGCATCAATCAGAAGGCAATGCAATGGTGGGAGTGTGAGCGTGGCACACACGTGTGTGCCTCTGTGTGTTGTGTGTACCTTCCATGGCTGTATTGCGTCAGGGAGTGCGAGGTCGACCCCCCTGACCCCTCTGAATGCCCCCTGGATGGCCGTGTAGGCTTCTTGGAGGCTGTCGAACGTCTCCGGCGGCCGCCCCTTGCACCACTGCTCGTCCTTGACTATCACCTGCACGTCGTCGCACGACGCCGTCAGGCTCGTCAGCCACACATCGGTCAGCTTGGCCTCTTGTCCGCCATCAGTCAGCACCACGTCGATCTCCACTTGCATGGGCAAAGTCAGCGGCAGCAGCGGCGCTACGCTCGGCAGAGTGACGTGCCGCCAGTCGTGTGCAGGGCCGGGCAGCACATCGTCCCCACTGTGCGTGCGCTTGCCCACTGCTGCTCGGGAGCCCTGGCGGACCGTCCTGGCCTTCGCCTTGGCCTTCGGTCGGGCCGGCTTGGGCGGCGGAAACTGCTTCCTGATCGTTCACACACACACACACACACACACACAGAGGGCAGAAAGGATCAGGTGTCCATCGGCTCGCCGATGGCTGGGTTTGTGTGTGGAGGGTGTCTGTTTGTCTGTTTGTTCACACACTTAAGGAACTGGACGTGCTCCTTGAGCATGGCGTTTGTGAGGGCGAATGGGCGGTCGGTCATCTTGCCCAGGGGCTCGAGCAGCTTCTTGAGGTACTGCATGAAGGTCCCCTTGGCGTCGGCCTCCAGCTGCAGCCTCGCCGCCTCGCGGCTGTCCTCACCCTCCAGCGCAGTGCTGCACACACACACACATATACAAGGGCGGGAGAGAGAGGGAGGCACATACAGACGTGTGGTCAGTGGTCAGTGGTCTCTGCCGTTTACTAGGCGTCTTTGATGATTCTATGTATCAGTTCCAGCTTCACGACCCACTGCCCGATGCACTGCAGTGGGGAGGCAGTCAACGCAGGCTGACGACAGACACACACACACATGCATCACATCAACGCACACAGAGGTAATGCCGTGTGCTGCGTCACTTGCCTCTTTGCGTTTCTTGTTTGCAGCCGCCGTGGGTGTCTGGGGAAAGGCAGCGGTGGGGCTGCCCTGGGGGCTGGCTTCATCCTGACGCGGCGATGGCGACGGCTCAGGCGACGCGGCGCCGTCAATCTCCATCGGCACAGGCCCATCACCTGCACCTGCCGCTCCTGCCGGCGCAGCTGCTGCCGGTGGGCTCGCCTCTCCCTCTCCCTGTCCCTCAGGTCTGTGTGGCGGGGGTGCCTCCGGTGCGGCCTTGGCGTTGGCGGTGGCCGCCTGCTGCCGCAGCCGGAAGTCATCGAATGCCTGCAGACAGACGCCACAACGCAACACACACAAGACACACAAGTTGTGGGACCGGCCGCATGAGGGTGGTTGGTGGTGTAGTGTGTGGCCAGCTTGCTGGCACACTCAGGTACCTGTCTGAGTTCTAGTCTGTGTGTGGGGTCGTCGCCGAAGAGCTCCGACGAAAGGATGTGCTGCTCACACTCCTCACGGAACACACGACCCATCTGTGGGGTGTGGTGTGCAGGCAGGCCGCCCCGGCACACAGGAGTGGATGTGTGTGTGTGTCTCTGTGTGTGTGTGCGGTGACCTTGATCTTCTCGCTCAGGTAGTCAATGCGCCACAAACGCTGCAGATGTGCCAACAGAGAGAGATGTGTGGAGTCGTTAATGCGCCAGTGGCGCATTGAGTGTCTGCCTGCGTACGTACGTCGAACTGTCGCTTCTTGATGTCAGGGCACATGTGTTTGACGGCGTGGAAGAGGTTGCGCCACACGTTGATGCGCGCAGGGCTCTTGCCCTGACACACACACACACACACACACGGACACACACTCACACAATGAATGCAGTCCACTCCACCGAGGGGGTCGAGGGAGCATGACGTGGTAGCTGGCTGACTTACAGCTTTGTCCCAGTGGAGGGCCAGCACAGACACGTCGGTCTCGTGCAGCACTGCCTCTGCCAGGGCACCGAACTGACAGAGGGAGGAGGGGGGATCTCAACCATGGTTCTTCCTCTGCTTGTCTGTTGTTCTGTCTCACCTTCTGCTTGATGTGCTGCAGGTGGTCGCGGGTATCTGTTGCCGGCCGAGACACCACACACACAAAGACAGACACTTTGTCGACGGGCGAGCCGGTGTCTCTTCCCCTTCCTCCCTCCCTCACCCTCTAGCGCCTGCAGGTCCCGCGACAAATCAGCGAAGAAGGCCTGGACGGTGGGCGTCGAAAACTGCACAAGGCGCGCAATGGAACACGCAGTTGAGAACCCAACTCACCATTGGGATCCATCGAGACCGTCTGTCTGTCTGCCCCGGTTACCGGCATTCGGTCTATCTGTTGGAAGTGCTGCCATAGTGGGACGGTGAGCTGCCCGAGTGAGTCGATGTCTCTCTGGAAGTCGTCAGCAGCGGCCTTCTCGGAGTCGCTCTCCTCGTCCGACGACCCTTGGCGGAAGATGAAGTCGCTCGGGTCATACAGCAGCTCCTCGTCAGTCTCTGCGCACGCGCCAACACACATACAACACCGGTGGGGTGGGGTGGATGGATCTGTGCGAGACAGGTGTGGTCTGCGCCAATTCACCATTTCCTCACCGCTGTGTGTGCCCTCGTCGTCGTCATTGTCTTGGCCGCCGCCATTGTCTTTGTTGCCGTTCTTCTCGGCCCGCTCCCGCCGGTCCTTCTCGGCCTCCTCAAACTCAGCGCGCAAATCGAACCCCAACTCATGCACCTGACAACGGGACACAGGCACCGCACCGCACCGCGTGTGTGTCTGTGTGTCGATGGTCTGTTGAGTTGACGCACCCACCTGTTCAGAGTCGTCGATGAAGTCTCGGTCCACTTTGTTGACCCGGCCCTGCCTGAGCTCCCGGTAGTAGGAGGTGGGGTCGCACGCCATGCTTGTGCGGTTCAGACGCTGCTCGAGAGACGCTATCACGTCCTGCAAACGCGACTCGCCGATGCCAAACATACCCCAGCCCTCTTGCTGACACCACACACACACACAGAGAGAGAGAGACACACATGGACATACAAACATGTCAGTCACCACACCATGTGAATGTGCCGACCGTCCCTCCCCATCCCTACCTGCATAAGCCGTCTCTGCGCCTCCAGCTCCTGTTTGTCGGCCCTCTTGGCATCCTCCGCCCCACCCTGCTCCTTGTTCTTCCCCTCCCTCTCCAGCTGCTGCGCGAGGGCCTCCCGCTGCTCGCGAAGCTCACGCAGCTTCTTCTCTTCAGGCCGCTCGGGCACCTCCTCATACGCCCCGCCCTCATACTGCTCAGCCAGGGCGTCACGCACAGACACCACGATGGGCTTGCCGTCTGCTGATCGGAGGGGCCCGAGATAGACGGGGCAGCCGCCCTTGAGCCGGGTTTTCTTGCGTGTGGTGAGCTCCTCCTCCTCCTCCTCCTCCTCCTCCTCTGGGCCCATGTCGACCTCTTCTTCTTTGTCGTTGTCATTGTCATTGTCATCCTCCTCCTCGTCATTGTCATTGTCATTGTCGTCTCCCATATCCTCGTCCTGAGTCAATCAAGTGCACACAACACACCAATGCGTCCTGCTTCCCGATACATACCCTGTGTGTGTGTGTGTGTGTGTGTGTGTGTGTGTTCCGTGCGCTGGTTGCTTGTTCATCGATGCGGTTCGGTTCACCTCTTCGTCGTTGCTGTTGTGTGGCTCTTTCCCATCATGCTCGACGTCCATCGGCCTGGCCTCTGGAGAGGCGCCTGGAGGCCATTAAGCAAACAAGCAACACGGCCACAGGTAGATCTGACGGCATGAGTGAGTGACTGATCTGGTACAGTGACTGACCTGCTGCTGCTGCTGCTGCTACCGCCGCCGCTGGTGGTTCTGCTGCTGGAGCAGGATGCTCAGCATTGTTGCCGGCGTCACGTGGCGACTCTCGTCGAGGCTCCTCCTGCTTCACATCAGGTCAGTGCTGCTCCTGCCGCTGCTGCTGGTGGTGCTGCTGCTGCTCGTCACCGCTGTCCTTGTCCACATCTATGATCTCTCTATCACTCCCTGACCGCTCCCAGCCATCTTTCACGAGAACCACCATCAAAGCAAAGCTCGCGAGGGATCGCTGCGAGGAATAATTGATGCTTATCGGATGCAACACGTGAGTAGCACTCCCTGGGTGCTCTGCCGCCTGGTCCATTCGCTCTCGTAGCAGACATCTTCGCGAAAAACGATGCAACAGCCGGCGTCACAGACAGCGGCAAGCAGTGCTGCCGAGGCCTCCCAGCAGGCCCAGAGCGGCACACAAGGCGACCAGGAGACGGCCTTCTATGAATCGCAGCGACGGGTGGGGAAAATGACCCACATGCACCTACAGGTGGCGGGGGCATGCTGGTAATTGTGTTTGTTTTGTGTGTGTGTGTGAGTGTGTGTGTGCAGCTGGTATTACACGACTACTGCACGGGTGAGTTTGTGGAGGAGACCCTGGCGGTGCTACCGCAGAGGTTCACGTCGCTCGAGCAGTACCGCATGTGCTTCATTCCCGCGGTCAGCCACTGGCCCACATACACAGACAGACAGACAGAGTCCCATCTGTGTGTGTGTGTGTGTGTAGGCTGAGGCCAACATCAAGGCCGAGATCTACGCGTCCATCTGCCAACTCAACCACAAGCGCCAGCTGTGAGAAAGCAACGAGGAGGTCACACACGTGTGCACCCGTCGTGTGTGTCTGTGTCTAGTGAGATGGTGCTCTCTGTGTCCACCGAGCGGCGATTTGTCCACGGTCGGTATCAAATCGCCTATCAGTGGGCGAGCAAGGAGGACTTCAAACAGGACTGCGTGCGGGCGCTCCTCCACACCAACGAGGTGGTGCTGGTCTACGACAGGAGCCTCGACATCACCACCAAATTCGACCTCAAGGTGGCCGACGCAGAGGAGGGCAGATGGGCGCTGGGAGTCATCGACAAACACAGATCACTCAGCCACTGGTCAGCCAATACAGCGAGCCCACCCCACCATGTGTGCCGGATATATGTATGTGTATATGTGGTTTATCGATCTCCCTCTCTCTCTCTGGGTGTGGTGTGGTGTGGTTTGGTGTGTTGTGTGCAGGGACGACATAGAGGGGTTGCAGGAGCACGACAGGCGTGAGCAAGACGGGCGCGACGGCCGCGGCAGGGGGCGCTTTCCGGCAGGAGCAGCAGCGGGTGGCGGTGGAGGGAAGGGTCGCGGCCGCGGGCGGGGCATCGTTAAGGGCCAGCAGGGTCCGCGACCGCCTCGCGGATTCACCGGCCCGCTGTACGAGGGCGAGTCGTTCAACAACGGTGCGGCCGATGAGCAGCAGGCCACCCCTGGTGACCCCGAGCAGCTGGACATACGGCACCGCATGACGCTGACCGAACTGACCGACCTCGGACAGCCAACCACGGTGAGAGAGGGCCGGGAGAGGGTGTGGGTCTAATGGGTGTTGTTGGTGTTTGTCCATGCGTCTGATAAACTTGTTAGGTGATCAACTTCTACACGTGGTCTGCGGCGGTGCCTGCGTTTGTCCAAAACGCCGTTACCAACGTCATGGTCATCCCTCTCGTGCAGGTGGGTGCATTCATGAGATTAGATGCACTTCACCCGTACGTATACATTCGTGTGGGGCTGTCTGTGTGTGTTGGTGTGATGTGACGCAGATCCCAACATCGCTGCGCGCCGGCCTCCTGAACCCCACCACAATAGGCCCTGAACTGTGAGCGCAATGCCACCTGACCTGCCAACAGAGCAAAGCCACCCAACGTGTGTGTCGTTCAGTGTGCCGGAGGTGTTGGGTGTGCAAGCGGAGGAGATCGACAGCAAGGACCAGCAGATCGCCGCACAGGCCAAGCAGTTCCTCGCGGAGAAGTTTCAGGCGGAGAATCCACATGCACAGGTGCTGCCGGTGACCGACCAGCTGGCCAATGACATCTGCCAAAAACTGAGACTCAATCAAAGCCAGGCCACTGCCGTCAAGGTGACTCTTCCCCTCTCCCTCCCACCTACCACACACACACACACACACACACAGAGAGAGAGAGAGAGAGGGAAAGGGAGAGAGATCCATGTGCGTGTGTGCGTCTGGTGCAGGAGTGTCTGGTGAACCCCACTCGCCGGGTGCAGCTCATCCAGGGCCCCCCTGGGACCGGCAAGACGTCCACCATCGCTGTCATGCTGGCTGCCCTCGCCCTCTGCGGCCGCCGCACGATGGCCGTCTCACACACAAACATCGCCACTGCTGAGGTAAACAAGGAGGGAGGGAGGGAGGGAGGGACACTGCACGCATCCACACGTATCTGTGTGTCCATCTGTCCACGTGTCAGATAGCGCGGAAGTTCCTGACTCGTTTGGTGCGGCACACCGACCCTTTGGAGCTGCTGATGGAGAAGCCGAAGCTGCTCGTGCCGCAGTCCTACCCGCTCGACGACAGGCGCATGCGCCGCGCGCCGAAGACACACGAAGTGGACCACTTCCTGCCGTCGCACATTGTCCTGGTAAGTCTGTCTGCAGTGTGCGTGTGTGTGTGTCCGTATGGTTGCAGTGGTGCTGTGTGTGCGTGTGTGGCTGCAGGTTGGTTCGGAGGGCCGAGTAGACACGCGTGAAGGCATAGACGCCATTTGGGTATGCGCGTGTGCCAGGGGGGACGGAGGGAGGGAAGAATATGCATTCATGGGGTGGGGCGTTTGTGTGGCGTGTGTGTGTTGTGTTGCAGGCCGACCATAGAATCCACATGCTTCAGGCGAGTGTGCGGATCATTTTGGAGCTGCTCCGGGGCATCAAGGGCCGGTACAGGCCCAGCACCATACAGAACTGGATGAAGCTGCCATGGACCGTTGACACCACACAGGAGGACCGTAAGACATTCATCCACACACACATCCACACACACACAGAGGGATGGGTGTGTCGATGGGTACGTTTGTGTGTGTCAGGCATTCCGTTTCCCGATGGTGCAGCTGAGATCTACGCCGCGTTTGACAAGTATCTCAGGCTGATACGCATCAACGGACCACCGCCCAGATGGTACACACACACATACACACACACACACACAGATGCACACGTGCGTGTTGGTTGTGTGTCCTGTGTATATCTCTCTCTCTCTCTGTGTGTGTGTGTGTGTGTGTGTAGGGCTGCGCACCAGAAGATCGAGACGTGGCCTCGTACCATCACAGACGAGATTCTCTTCCTGGGCGTCCTCTTCCTGGTGCCTTAAATGCATATACACATATCACACCAAGGGAGAGTGCGAAGAAGGGGAGGCGAGAAAAGGCCAACCGACCTGCATCGTGAACCCATGGTTGGTCTCTTGTCGCTTCTCATTGTCCAGCAAGCCTTCGCTCGCCGCTCCCAACTCCCCGATAGGCCTCTTGTAACAACAACACCCCAACACCCCAACACCCCCCCACACAGAGAGAGAGAGGGATTCGTGTTTTGTTTATGTCGGTTATCAGGGCGAGAGGACTGACGATGTGCTGCCGATGATGTACCGGACGATGGTGTGGTTCAACTGCCCCGGGCGTGTGCCGCCCCCCACAGAGGAACCCCAGCGCATCGAGATTTGCGAGAGCCCTGCACCACACATCATGTAGCGATGCGATCGACGCACACTTACACACTTACACGCACATCGTGGTGGCTGGAGAGGAGATGCTGTGGGTGTGGTTGGTTGTCTGGTGCCGTGTGTGTCACTCACACATGGATGGCCATGATATGGATGCAGGCCGAATCTGGTCGATTTGATGGCGGAGGATACCTCGGCTGGCGTGCTGGAAGAGGCGCTGGAGAGGATCCGCTTGCTGCTCTACCGCAGACTCGTGGACGTCAACCAACGCAACTTCTCGCGTAAGCAAAAGGGGATGGATGGATGGATGGATGGTCGACTCGTATGTGTATGTGTGTGTCTGTGGTGGTCAGATCGTGTGTTGAACAAGATGTTGGTGGACAGCGCGTCAGTGTGCTTCTGCACCACAACAGTGGTACGGTAGTTACGTGCGTGTGCACGGCGGGTGGGTGCTGCTGGTGGTGTGTCTGCATGCCCTCCCTCCCCCCTCCCCTCCCCGTGTGTGTCCTTGCGCCATTCAGGCATGCAGACGATTGTTCAACGACATGTGGTTCCACACACTCGTCATCGACGAGGCCTGCCAGGTCACTCTCACTCTCATCCCCCCTCCCGGACCGACCCCCATTGCCCATGGTGGTGTGTGTGTGTGTGCGTGTGTGTGTGCAGGTGTTGGAGAGCGAGAGCCGCACGGCGTTCAAGGCGTGTTTGGAGGCGGCCATTCTGGTGGGCGACCACAAGCAGCTGGGGCCGATTGTCATCAGCAACGCGGCGTCGGAGAGCGAATTCAAGCGGTCGCTGTTCGAGCGGCTCGTCAGCAACGGACACCCCTTCATCAGACTGCAGACACAGGTGGGTGTGAACGAATGCAGTCAAGACAGAGAGAGAGAGACGCATGTGGTCCATCCATCCATCCATGTGTGTGTGTGTGGGTGTCTGTGTGTGCAGTATCGCATGCGGCCGGAGATTGCTGCCTTCTCTGTCCGGGAGTTCTACGAGAGTAAGCCCGTACTCACACACACGTGCGCAGGACAGAATCGACACACGATGGGCAGCTGCAAATGTGTGTGTGTGTGTGTGTGTGTGCAGATGCCGTCGAGAATGCCGGCAACGTGACGTCGGAGGAGTGGTCCAAACCGTGGCACTCCTACAAGTCAGCAGCCCCCCCCTCACACACACACACACACACAGATGGCCACCATGTGTGTGGTGAATTGGTGCACATGGCAGGCACGGTCTGTTCCCGCCATTCTGTCTGTTCGACACGAGCAACGTGTCGCGCGACCTGGTGCACGAAGCCCACGACTTGACCTCCACTTTTGCCAACAGCAAGATGAACCAGGGCGAGGTCGACGTCATCATCGCCCTCCTCTGCTGGCTATACGACACCTACGAACACCTCTTCCCGCCCATAGACACCCACCTCGAGGACACCGACCTGCCCATCACTGCCAATGTCACGCCGATGGACATCGGCATCATCGCGCCTTACCGTCGGCAGGTCCGGGCGGCTGCCATTGGGGCCACACAGACTTCACACACTCGTGTGTGTTGTCCATGTGTGGGTGCAGATTGAGTTGATCCAGGAGCAGCTGGCGGCGAGGATCCCGCGGATGCTCAACTACGTCACCATTGCCACCGTTGACGCCTTCCAGGGCCGCGAGAAGAGCATCATCATCTTCAGCGCCACACGAGCCAATGCACACGGTAGGTAGGGTGCACACACATGACCACAACACACGCACGGATGCACTGACAGACACTGATAAAATAAACACATCACACCCTCCTGTCTGTGTGTGTTGATGATCAGGTGAGATTGGCTTCACCAGCGACGCCCGCAGGCTCAACGTCGCCCTCACTCGAGCCAAACACTCCTTATGGGTACGCCCCCCGGCACACACACACATGTGGATGGATGGATGGATGGACGGATGGACACAGTAATGTCCGACAGGCAGACGGTCTGCCAAGGTGCCCTTGTGTGATGTGACCTCCCTGCTGCTGTCTGTCTGTCTATCTATCTGTGTACGTGTGTGTCAGGTGATCGGCCACATGAAGACCCTCGTGCAGAACAAATGCGCGCGCAGGCCGATGGGGTCGCTGTGGTGAGAGGGTCTTAAAGAGCATCACGCCACACATATCAAAGGAGGCAGCCAGCGATCAAGCTGCATCGATCCCTCTATGTCTGTGTGTGTATGTGTGTGTGTGTGTGCGTGTGTGTGTTGACTGACTGACACACAGGGAGGACCTGCAGTCCCACGCGTTGGTCATGGCGCAGCGCACCCAGGCCTCCGATGACAACCTCCTCTCAGCATTTGTCGACGTGGCCCATGAGCCAAGGCTCATGGAGTTCGTCGGTATGTGCACACACAGACACACACACTCACACCCAGGCACATCCACCTGGCCCCACCCTCTCTGCGCCTGCAGGACTGTCAGGGAGCAGTGGGGTGGCCCGCCGTGACCCCCTGATGACGACCATCAAGTCTTCCTCGCTGCTGGGAGCCTTCACCTTCCCCGTGCTGATGTCGTCCCACGCCATCAACTGGCTCATGGCCATGGCCAGGGGCCACTTTGACGTGGGCACCATCAACAAGATCAAGGTCTGCATCAGAAATCTCGCCAGGGGCAACCAGGATGTCCGTCGTCGCAAGCTCCTGATATCCGCCACTCAGAGGCCGTAGGCCTGCATCAACGGGCAGCAGGGGCCACAACACAAGACAAGACACACAGGTGGCGTGCCCTTTGTGTGTGTGTGTGTGTGCGTCTTTACGTGTGGGATCGAATCTATCACCGCCAGCAACATCGAAGACCTGTTGATCTTCGAGGAGGCCGTCCAGCAGACACCTTTGGTCATCATCTGGAGCATGGCGCTCGACGACGCAACCAACGGCCAGGCAGTCCGAATTTGGACCATCGAACACAGAACAAACCGCACACGTGAGCGACGCGAGCCACCGACCGACCTAACGGTGGTGTTGGGTGCATCACAGAGCTCTGTGTGTGTGTGTGTGTGTGTGTGTGTCAGGGTCGTCCTACGACTACGACGGCAGGATTCTCGCTTGGACTCATTTCAACGTCCACACGAGCGAGTACCGCAGGGCGTGTCTGGCCCACGGCGACCTCGAGGACATCAAGAGGCGCCCAGACCGCCCCCTGCCCAACAAGGACGTCCAGATCAACCCCGGCTGGACAGACAACCGTGAGTGGCGCGCGGTGAAGAAACCTGACCATAGGAGTGCGTCGGCAGCATCGGGTGGTGACAGCTGGGGTTCGCCGGCGATTGAGAGGCTCAGCGGGGCTGAGTGTGAGGTGAGGGGCTACGAGATGGAGACCATCGACATCGAGGACGCCGAAGGCGAGCCACTGCTCCCATTCCTCCCCACACATCGCACCTTCCACCGAATGAACAGGTCAGTCAGTCAGTCAGTCTGCCCCCACCGCCCCACACCCAGGCGCATCCACCCTGTGTGTCTGGTTTCTTTTCCTCGCCGTCCGGCCAGTGAGTTCTTTGGCCACTTCGTGGAGCTGCTCAAGCACGTGTGTGAGTCGGCCGGTTCGTCCTCATCTGGCCCGCTCGCCGACAGGCCCGCCGCCGAGCTGGAGCTCTTCCACGTGTCGGGTGGCCACCGTGCGTGGCCCCCGGCCCTCGACTACCGCCTGCAGCGGATCGCTGCCGACGGTGGGGCCTCGCTGTTCATCATGGGCACCGCTGGGGCCGGCAAGACCAATGTCCTCATGGCCAGGTGAGTGGGTGAGACAGGCAGCCTGAGGCAGGTGCATATGGATGGATAGATGGATGGCGTGTGTGTCGCAGGATGCGTCAGGTGGAGCAGGAGTGGGTGGTGCGTGAGCATGTGGGGCTGCGGCCGCTGACCGAGCACGGCTGGGGCGGTGAGGGGGGGTGGCGGCAGGGAGACGACCCCGAACAACTCAGAGAGGACGACCCCCGGATGCTCACACAGCCCACATGGAATGACTCTGATGGCGACAATGACGCACAGGCAGCGCCTGTCCGTCCAGTCAATCCCTACCCCGCGCCGTCCATTCTCCTCGTCGCAGCCGACGACGCCCTGGCAGACACCCTCCGGCAGCAACATGAGCTGCACCGAAGCTGGAGTCGCCTCTCGGCCCCCTCGCCCAGCAAGCTCATCAACGACGGCAAGGCGCAGCAGTACGACTGGATTTTCCAAAAGAAGAAGGACGGCCTGCCCCTCTACGTCCCGCCGCGTGTCGAGGCCCTGCGCGACGCCATCAACAGCCGCATCCACCGGGTCAGCGGCAACCCGCCAGATCCCATCAGGTCGGAGCCGCTGTTCAGCCGGCAGGTGTTCCGGCTGCCTGAGGGGCGATCAGTGTGCTCAAGGGAGGCGGGGGCCGCCGACGACGGTGCCGGGGCTGGGGGAGGGGCGGGGGCGGCCGATGACTGCCATCCTGCCATCGTGGGGCCGAGGGCGCTGCTCGTCTCTGTCGACGGTACACACACACACACACACGCACACACAGATGGGAACCTCCCTTTATCACTGTGTGTGTCTGTGTCTGTATGTGTGATGCAGAGAATCTGATCGACCCGTTTTTGGACCATCCCGACCTCCCTGGTCGTCACAACCTGTACCCTCTCGCGCGAAACATCCGACGAGTCGACATACGAGTGGGTACACACACACACACACACACACAGAGTGATGCCCACTGTCGCTGGACAATGCAGGACGAGGTGACGTTCCGCGAGTTCTTCGAAGGCTTTTGGCCCCACATCAAGTGGTATATGAACGGGTGGCTTAGGGAGCTCCAGCACAGCAGGAGCGGCCGCATCATCGACATGGACCTGCCCGACGACATTAGTGCGGAGGACGTGACGCGCTGCGGGCTGGCCGAGTACCTCACCCACCCAGACGGCACCTACGATTCCAAACACGAGACTGGACTGGTGAGTGTGTGCGGTGGGTCAAAACAGAGAGAGAGAGAGAGAGAGATGGGTGGGTGCGTCCGTGTTGGGTGTGTCTGATATGGTCAATTGGTCAATCAGGGGTATTTGGTGTGGAGTGAGATCATCTGTTCCATACCAGCGCACCTCTCCACCACCCAGCGCAAGAAGGACGAGAAGCGGCTCGAGGCCTACCTCTTCCTCCGCTGGGGCACCACCCGCCCCCGAATCACATTCGACAACGACGGCAACACCGCCAGCCCTTCGCCCTCTTCACCATCAGTATCATCATCATCAGCCGCAGCAGCAACAGCAGCAGCGGAGGGGCCCACAGTGGTGGACGAGGACACCTACGGTCAGTACGGCGGGAACCCCATGGCCCTGACGGCGAGCGAGTACCTGCAGCAGGCGGAGCGGACGGGGCGGCCTGCGTATCTGTCTCGGGGCGACCTGGTGGTGGTGTACGCCATGTGGCGGCAATACGCCCAGATGAAGGAGAACAGGGGCAGGGGCGAGTGGGACAGAGCCGACCTCGCCACACATGCACTGGTCGGTCAGCAGACAAAGAAAGAGGCGATGGTGTCTGTGCATATGGATGGGATGATCCGTCTGTGTTGCACATGGGTGACATGGAGGTGTGGGTGTGTGTCAGGTGTTGCTGTCTGCTCATGCTCGTCGTGCGTATCGTGGGAGGGTGTTCGACTACGTCTTCTGCGACGACGTGGACTTGTGGGCGCCAGTGGAGGTGGCCGTCGCATTCCACCTGGTGGGCAGCAAGCGACGCATCGCCATGGCCGTCTCGCAGGTACGCACACACCCCCCTCCTCCCCCCCTCCACAGCTCATTATTCCAGCGATGGACACTTGCATGGTGCGTCTGTCTGTCGTGTTAGGAGGGCGTGCTCGGCCCGCAGACATGCGACAATGTCTTCCCCATGTACTCCAAATTCATACGTACGCCACACACACGTCACCACCCGACAGACAGACGGTATTGGTGCGTGTGTGTGTGTGAAGGCTCCCGCGCCCAGCTGACGCCGCCGTCGATTCTGCTTCACTCGTGCCGGTCGACCGAGTTCCTGACGCTTCTGGCCGCCACTGTTGTGAAACCTCTGCGCCGGCTGCTGAGTGGCAAGACGATGCTCTTGAAGAAGGGACAGCTGCACACCGATGACAGCGACCACATCGCCCGGGCACTGTCAGTACCCGCCAACAGAAGATACAACACCGTCGAGCAGCAGCAGGTGGGGAAGAGGGTGGGGTGGGTGTTGGGAGAGCAGGTGGGGGCATCCATCTATCCATCCATCCATCCATCATGTGTGTGCAGGTTGACGGGCCCGATGCGCTGCCCGACGACCTGGTCCGTGCGCGGCGGGAAGAGGCCGACACACGTGCCCTGCTGTCACTCCGTCGCCAGGGGACCTTCCTCAAGCCATCGCTCCTGCTGCTGCCTGAGGAATGGCTGGACTTGAGGAATGTGCCGCACGAGGCGAAGGCGGACCTTCTGTTCGAGGCGTTCCAGCTGGTGCAGCCCCAGTTCATCGACAGCCGGCGGTCTGTGGGCGACCACACAGGTGGGTGGTGCGCAGAGATCCATGCGGATGGATGGATGTGCTGTCCTTTGCAGTGGCGATCGTTGTTCGGCGGGAGTACGACGTAAAAATGGTCGCGGAAGCACTGGCAGATATCACTCAGGTGCGGACACACACACACACAGAGATACCTATACAGACGCAATGATCCCGCCCCGCCCCGCCCCAGGATGACAAGCACAACGGCCGCTGGCGATGGCAGCGGATAAACTGTCACGACAGCGCTCAACGCTCTCGCCTGCATCTGCGTCACCGCCAGCGGTCGCTCTCGCCAAGCCGCCGGTCTGCGCACTCGGGGTCGTCTCCGGGCCTGTCACGTGCCACTGTGTCGAGCCGTGAGGGGCCTGTGGCGGGCCGTGACAAGGATGAGCGCTGCGTCATCCTTGTCGAGCGATTCGACGACCTGCTCGCACTCAATATGGAGTTTGATCAGGTACGCTTAAGAAGGGCGGGAGAAGGAGCAGAGGAGAGGACACGAGATGGATGGATGGATGGATGCTCTCTCTCTCCCTGTCTCTGCGTCTCTCTCCTCTCCTCTCCGTGTGTGTCGATGTGTCGATAGGTGGTAGTCTACGATTTCTTCTTCCGTTCGGAGCAGCTGGATTTGGTGTGGATGCAGCCGTGGGTTGGCTGGGTCTTGGAGAGCTTCCAGTCGGGCGTGCCCTTCATGCCCTACGTCCAGCAGTTCCCCGTCGACGTCTCCAACCTCGTCGATGAGCTCCGCCTTCTCTACGCCATCATACGCATGGCCAGGATCAACGTCAGCTTCATTGAGGTGCGGCACACACACACACACATTGACAACACAGAAAGCCCACATGTATTCCGATGTCATTTGTGTGTGTGTGTGTGTTGGGGGCCGTGTGTGTCATGCAGTCGAGTCCCGACTCGTCCGTGGCACTGAGCGCCTGGTGGTCGGCCCGGGGCATCGTGGACGTCCATGAGCTCGCCAATGTCCGCAGGCAGGACCAGCGGGGCCGCCTCGCGCTAGAGCTCAGCGGGTCGCCGCAGAAGCTCTTCGATCAACACAAGAGGGCCATCGCCCGGTGCGAGCAAGAGAGCCAGCAGATGAAGCAGCAGATGGAGACGAGCACCCGCAACAACAACACCGGAGCTGCTGCTGCTGCTGCTGCTGTTGCTGTTGCTGTTGCTGCCCAGCCATCCCGCCCCTCCCGTCCAGCAGCTGCAGCAGCATCATCAGGGCGTGGCGGGCGTGCTTCCCCCGCCCCATCCTCCATCGCACCCATGGCACCCCCCCGTCCACACGCACCGTACAACGACACCAACAACCGAGACCGAGGCGGCCGCTACCCTGACGATGACCTTGAGGATCTGCCGATGCCGCCGCCGCCCAGGGACCGTCGAGGTGGCAGTTATAGGTGGCAGCAGCGTGACTTCCGTGACGACTGGGCGGACGACGACAGCAGTGAGGATGGTGACAGCAGCTACGAGTACAGCCGATATGGGGGCGGCGGGGGTGGGGCGTACCAGAACTCCTGGCAGAACCAGCAGATGAGGGGCGGGTATGATGACTATTATTATGGCTATGATGACGACGCGCGGTCGGACTACAGCTACCGGTGACTGACGGATACAGTGTGTGACACATAGATACATACATGACCGACTGACTGATCTGACTGATTAGTGGGGAGGGACCGGCGCATGCGGTGCATGCACATCGATGCTGCATGCATCGATATATGCTGTTTTGCTGTGTGACGGGAGTAGCGGGCCCGCGGATCGGGGCCGATGCGTACAGAGTCTTTTACGAGTAGGGGAGGACAGCACCACCTACGTGTGTATGTTTGTGTCTGTCGTTGTGCTGTCGTCACTTTCGATGCACCGTCGACGTGATCTTACTGCTGCTAGCTGCCTCGGGAGCATTACGGATGGTGTCGGCAGGCAGCCGAAGTGACTTCAGCACGATGCACGACAACAGAACAAGCGAATCTCAGTGGTTTGAGAGAGAGACCTCCATGGCAAAATGCGGGAGGCTTCAAACGTGCTTGGTGAGACTGCGACGTCCATTTACTTGGCCCCCTCGCCCCCCGTCTCAGCTCGCACCCCCCGGCCTAGCGATGAGTTCTGACAACGTCGGGTCGCCCAATGGCGGCTCTGCGTCGACGTTTGCCGAGAAGCACCGGCAGCGTACGGAGAAGCTTCGTCAGGACAAGGACAGCCGGCGGGCCAACGAGATAGACAAGATGACCAACGAGCGGCTCGAGAGAGAGCTCAAGGCCAAGGGCATCCCCACTTTCGGCACCAGGCAGGAGAGAGCGGCGAGGCTCAAAGTGGCCTGCGGTATGTATGCTACTCCCAAGTGAACCCACAAACACCCGAGAAGCACACACACCTGTATTTCCCTATGTGTGTGTGTCTGTGGCACGCGGCCTGTAGGTCTGCCCGCCAGCAGTGATGCTGATGAGAAGAAACCGGGCAAGGCCAAGAAGGGCGGCGTGGTGGAGGAGATCGAGCGACTCAGGCAGCAGAGAGAGCAAAGACGGCGCAAGATGGAGGAGGACCGCAAGACCAAGGAAGACGAAAAGAGCCACAACGAAGCCATGGGCCTCCCCGGCGACGTCGACTTCCAAAGGATGGTCACGCAGTTCCGGACCGATTCGAAGAGCGGCAAGGCCCTCTCGCCCATCATGGGACAGGGGGCTGGGGGGAAGGGCTCGTCGCAGGCGGTGGGCATCTGGGTGTGTGTGCGAAAGCGGCCTTTGAACGACAAGGAGGTGGGGCGGCGGGAGATCGACACGGTCACAGTGGTGAACCCCAAGTGCCACGTGCACGAGTGCAAGTTCAAGGTGGACGGCATCACCAAGTTCCTGGAGAACCACCACTTCGCATTCGACCGGACCTTCACCGACTCCACACCCACACAAAGCGTAAGAAACAGACACACACATATATTGCCGAATATGGATGGGCAGATTCATAAGCCATAAGCCATTCGGTCGGCCTTTGTCTCGTGTGATGTGGTCAGCTTCACGAGTGCTGCAGCAGGCCATTGGTGGACTTCGCGCTCAGAGGGGGCGGCAGGCGTGCCACCATCTTTGCGTACGGCCAGACGGGGAGCGGCAAGACCTACACGATGAGAGGGATGCAGTCGCTGCTGTGCTCGGACCTCTATGACGGCCTAGAGGGCAACCCCCACAAGGACGATTTGGACGTGTCGGTGAGCTTCTTCGAGATCTACGGAGGCCGCGTCTACGACCTGCTCAACAATCGCCAGAGGCTGCAGGTGCTCGAGGACGCTAAGCAGGAGGTGAGGTGGGTGGTGTCTGAAGGGTCCGTCAGGAGCCGGCGGGGGCGTGTTCTTGTCTGCAGGTGCAAGTGCAGGGTTTGTGTGAGCGGCCTGCCAAGAACGCCAAAGATCTGCATGACATCATCGGTAAGCTAGCTATGCATCACACCTACACCGTGGCGTCGGTGTCTCATGCCGCGCCTCACCCCGCATGCATCCGTGTGGTGTCTCGTCTCTGCGTGCAGAGTATGGGCACTCAGTGCGCACCACCAAGGCCACATCCACCAACGCAGGTATGCAGACCAGACACACGTCAGTCACAACAAAAAAATGGAAATCAAGCGCCGCACCCGTGTCCCTCCATACGTCTCTGTGATGTGCACACACAGACTCCTCCCGCTCCCACGCCGTGTGTTGCATCGCGCTAAAACTGCCCCGGACCACCCCGCTGCCCAGCCCCCCCGAGAGGAAGCAGCTGGTGCCGCAGCCCCCACCCGACAAATTCACAGTATATTCGAAACTCACACTCGTCGACCTGGCCGTACGGACGGACACTTAAGCAATAAACAAACAGACACCAGCCAGCCAGCCAGCCAGCCAGAGACAATTCATTCATGTGTGTGCCTCTGTGTGTGCAGGGCAGCGAGAGGGCGCAGGACACGCGGCACCACAACCGCGCCAGACGAGTCGAGGCCGCAGAGATCAACCGCAGCCTCCTCGCACTCAAAGTCAGTACGTCACCTTACACACACAGACAGAGAATGGATGTCTCTCTCTCTCTCTCTGTCTCTCTGCAGGAGTGCATCCGTGCATTGGCTGTTGAGAGCTCCAGTGGGCCGCCCGCTAGCCAGGCTGGCGCATCGCCATGGGCGTCACCGTCCGGAGCTGGGGGTGGGGCGGGGGGTGGCAGCGGCTCGCACATCCCGTTCAGAGCGTCCAAACTGACGATGGTCCTGCGGGAGTGCTTCGTGTGCAGCGCTTCCCGCACACTCATGATCGCATGTGTATCACCAGGTGGGTCGGCTGCAGACGTCAGACATAAAGTCGAATGTGCGTGTGTGGTCTGGCTCCATCCATCCATCCATCAGGGATGGCGTCGGCAGACCACACGCTAAACACATTGCGTTATGCGGCGCGGCTCAAGGAGACCCCAGACAGTCCCCAGCCAGCAGGCGTGGCGGGAAGCTCCCCACGGCCACCTCAGTCGGCACCTGCGTCACCCGCCGTGCATCAACCACCCGAGCCAACAGGTAACGAGTGCATTGGCTTAGACCTTGCCACGCGACATTGTCCCGGCTCGGTTGGTTCAGAGGCCGGTGGTCCCGGATTTCGTCTGCCGCCTCGTGCAAAGTCCAAAGCCGCGGTCGCCCCCTCGTCCCCCCCAGCCCCCCGCCCTCCCCCTCCCTCCCACCCGGTCAGAGATGCCGACCGGGTACCCCTCTCGCCGATACCCCCACCAAGAGGGTCCAAACGGGCCGCCGGTGGAGCTGCGAGTCCGCCGCCCCCCGCACCAGGCCCCGCCCCCATCCCCCACGCGGCATCGTCCCCTGCACCCTCCTCATCCACACACGCACCGGGGAGCAAATCGCCACCAGAGCCATCCGCTTCGTCAGGTGAGACACGGCCATGTACTCTGCTGCTAGGGATGTGATGTCTGTCGGTGCTGCTAGGGGTTCCTGAGGCGGAGAGTGACGCGTCGCCCAACGAGGGTGAGGAGGAGACGGAGGCCGAGGGAGAGGGAGAGCCTGAGGACGGGAGACACCTGGCGAGGGTGTCTCGGGCTGACATGGACTTCCTCAAAGAATCGCTAACGAAGCAAGGGGTGGGTGGGGTGGCGCAGAACACACAGATGTGAGGTGCATGAGAGGCTCTGTGTTTATCCATCCATCAGATGGGGGAGGCCTTGGCCATCACGGACTCGGAATATCTGGAGGTACGGACACACATCCATCCATCTGTACTGCGATGGACACACGTATATGTGTCTGTCTCTCGTGTCATCTCTCACAGACTGTGGAGGATTTGTATGAGTGGGAGGATCGCATCACACGGACACACATGAGCACCATGAAGGTGACAGACACCCACAGCCAGCCAGCCAGCCAGACAGACAGTATGTGGCCTGCTACAGGAGGACGCCAACATGCTCACCATGGAGGGCGAACTCATGAAGAAGGTAAATCAACAACAACTCGCCCATCCACAACTGTGGTCAATTGCTTGCGCGTCTGCGTCATGGGCGCAGTTCCAAGATGACGATGGGTACGAGCTTGAGGACTACGTGGAGGACATTGAAAAGATTGTCGAGCGCAAGGTGCATCTGTACAAGGGCCTGCTCAAAACAATCAGCAAAGTCAAAACCATCATGCAGCAAGAGGAGACGTCGTACAAGAAGGTGTGCTGTATGTGGCCGATGGTCGGTGGACGTGCCTATGCGATGGATCGTTGTCTCGGTGCGTGGCTGTGTGCAGGCCGAGCAGCGAGACAACAAGTGACTTCACTTAAGGGGCGTGCCTTCCGGCCAAAGGCTGCCGTGACGCCGTGGCGCTGCAGTAGCGAGATCTGTATGTCTTTCTTCTGCTGGTCCGGCAGTGTCTCGATATGTGAATCATCGATGTGTACACATTGGCGATCATTTGGACAGTGTGACGCGCTGTATGTATCGTGCCGTGCCGAGTGGCCATGACGCAATGACGACGACTCTGCATGCATGCGCCCAGTCGCGATCATCGTCTGTGCGAGCTCGTGGGCGTCTCGCCCGCAGTCATTCTTGTGACTACGCAGTCGTTCTTCTGACTCATGAACCTGCAGCTGGGCAAGACGGCGGCTAAAGCCGTCTTTGGGCAAGCTGTCGAGTCGTCGAAGAACGTCATCTCAAGGATACGCTTCGCCAAGGGGGACGATGACAAGGATCAAACAGGAGAGGAACCAGCCGCCTCACCCGCCGCCGCCGCAGCTGCTGCTGCGGGTACATCCGCCCATGCATCCATCGAAGCGCCCACCATCACTGATCTGTGCTGCTTGCATGTTTGTCAGCGGCCCCGATAAGAAGCAAGACCTGCGAGGAAGAGGGCGATACCGTTGATCTCAAGGCGACTGGCGCGGAGGGCACGAGGCCGTGATCGAGGGCGAGGAGGAGGACGAGTCAGCACAAGCCGACGACCGTGACCGAGTGATCACAGAGGAGGAGTACCGCCAGCTGCGGAAGAAGAAGGCGCGGGAGGCCCGGTCGAGGAATGAGGGGCAGGTGGTGGCCCTGCCGGCCGGGGACTGGGGCGAGGACAACCTAAGGGGGGATGGCTCGGAGGAGAGCGAGAAGCACTGGCGGATACTCAGACGATTCAAGTGCCGCATCTGGAACATTCGGCTGGAGAACTTGCTCGAGGACACAAAGACGCAGACGCTCTTCCTCGGTCAGTGCAATCTCTCCTCGCCCCCTTTCTGTCTATCTGCATGTGTGTGTGTGTTTGTCTTTGTCTCTTGGCGAGCAGCCTTCACGATTGGCGGCACCTTGGAGGAGTTCCGTGTGGTGAATTACAAGGGTGAGGAGCGGGCTGTGTGTGAGGGCTACCCCGGCACCGTGTTCAAGACGCATCACGCTGATGTCAAGGGTGCGTAGTTGGCCAGAGGGGGCGTACACAGCCGAATCCAATGAGCAACAGACATGGGAGCGCACCTTCCACTTGCCTGTCTGTCCCTGTGTGGTGTGATATGTGCACTACTGCAGGCGGTGAGACGATCGAGTTCACGACTAAGCCCGACCTCGAGTGGCGGGGCTCATATATCGACCTGGAAAACGTACACACACACGCACACACACACACAGACAGACAGACGGCAGCAATGTACTAAGGGCAAGTGACACATACTGTGTGTCTCCTCTGGGTTGTAAAGGAGTGGCTGAGCATCGACGTGTGGAAGCTCCAGACCCGGGCGGTGAATCAGCTGATTGGCTCGCAGTCGGCGTCGCTCTACACCTTTGCCACGGGGTGGGTGGAGCAGGCATTCACCTTTGAGCGGATCGTCAAGAAGAAATCCGTGCCAGCGTACAAAGTCAGCTTCCAGGTGAGTCAGGCTGACTGACTGACTGAGACAGACAGGTCTGCCGGTTCTCTCTCTGAGCAGATATTGTTCCAAGAGATATACGACTTTGAGCTGACTCTCTGCGACTGGAAAGTCTCCAACCTCATGCCCCTAGACGTACGCCAACACAGAGACAGCAACACCCGCCCAGAGACATCCAAAGTGTGTCCGTCTGTCCGTCATCATACAGACGATGAAGGACCTCATCCAGCGCATCAAAAGAGGGGACATCGACAGCACCGCCGGCAAGAAGGAGGTCTTCTCCCCACTGAGTGACACCAAAGGCGACGACGAAGAGGGTATGGTGCCAAGACAAGCGGCCAAGAAGGGCCATGGGGAGGAAATGGACGCCATTTTGAAGGGCTTCGACCTCGAGGGCGACGGAGAGGTCGGTCGGCGGCCCGGCGGGAGGGGTGATGGGCCAGAGAGTGAGGTGGACACGCGGCTGCTGGTGGAGGTGGTCAAGACGGACCCCAAGATGGTCATGAGGATAGCGCCTAAGGCTGAGAACATGAATGTGATGCGAGTGGAGACCATGCCCAGGTGAGTTGAATCTGCCCACGTGCCTCTATGTGCGCGTGTCTATGTGCGTCTATGTGTGTGTGTATGTCTATGTGCGTCTATGTGTATGTGTATCTGTGTGTGTATTTGTATGAAGGTACAACACAAACAACCCGTCATGGGAGATGCTTGGGTGTCTCTACTGGAGGTAGGTCCGTCCGCCAGAGGAGAAGAGAATGCACAGTCAGTCCTTTCTGATGCCTGCCTACCTGCCTGCCTGTGTGCGCTGCACAGGGGCACTCCCCACGACTTGGAGAACGAGAGTCTCGAAGTCCGTGTCAAGGACACCTACAGGGCCAACCAAGTTATCGCAGAGGCCAAGATCCCCCTCAAGGGCATCCTCGAGTACGCCCAGATGGTTCGCCTCCCAGGTGACTCTGCTCGACGAGACGCGGCTCGACGGGCTGGACTTCGGGCGTGTGGAGGGCAAGGTGGCGGTGGAGAACAAGCCGCGCTACCGGCAGATCGGGAGTGTCATGGAGATGGACAACGACAAGATATACGTCATTGTCAAGGTCGTGAAAATCGACCAGCTGCACACGTCAGACGAGGCCGACCACATCGACTCGTATGTTGAGGTGACTTTCGACGGCATGGCCAACAGGTCCCGCCACGTGGTGGACTCCCTCAGCCCGACCTACCAGCACGAGCTGTCCTTTGTGGTCAACCTCCGGAACACGGAGCGGATAAGCGCTGAGGAGGTGCAGAACAAGGGGCCGGTGCACATCGACGTCTGGGGCAACAGCACGGGCGACGTCAGCAACGAGCACCTTGGGTGGACCACCATCTACTTGAATGAAGTCCTCTTTACGCCTGACGGCAAGGTGGGGTGGGTGGGCGAGTGAGGCGGTCGATCTGTCGACAACACGGATGTGTGGCCTGGCCTCGTTTGGCTCGTGTTTGGTTTGCAGCCTCGCGAGATGGAGGAGAGGAAGTTCTACAACAACATGACCAGGAACGAGGAGGAGTACGACACTCGCGTCTTCCACGGCAAGAAGCGATTGAGGCTCCTCTGGGACAGAGACAAAAAGAAGGAGTCCTTCGTCTACTTCCAGGTGACTAAGCTAACCTTCCCCCCTCTCGTCTGCTCATGTTCTGTATGTATGTCTGCGACTGACTATGTGAATGCCCAGATCTGGACCAAATCCGATTTGGGTGCGGGTGGCGCCATCATCCAGGGCTTCGGGATGAAAACCACCCTCGAGAAGGTCGACCCCTGGAAGAAGATACCCCGCTCATACGAGTCGCGGCTGGACGTCTTCACGCAATGCTGGACCACCATGACCAAGCAGCTCGAGGGGTGGGCGAGACACCGCACCTTCAGGTGCACTGTGCGCGACCACCGGGGCGATTCCCACGTGCTGTGTCGCTACGTGACCCCCATGAAGCCGCCAAAGGCCGTTGCCGGAGATAATGCCGTTAACCGGTTTGTCAGGTGAGCGTGCGGAAGAGACACGTGAGGTGGCTGACATGGATGTGGTGTGGTATGTGGTGTGTGGTGGAAGGTGCATTCCCTTTTGTGAGGGCTCCCGTGCCAAGGATGAGTTCTGGACCACACCTGACTTTCTGGTCAACCTGATGAAAGGGCCAGCCATGGACCACACACTCCTACACGCATCACTTCTGCTGTATGCTATGACACCTGAGACAGACAGAGACATCATCACCCCCGCCTTCATCTCTGATGTGCGTTTACTTACATCACAGGGGCATTCCCCTGTGCGCCTTTGTGTGCCTGGGGACTCTGTGGAACCGTGACAAGCACGCATGGGTCATGACGATGCAGCGGAGCGGGCGGGTCTACTTCTGGGACACGGCCAAAGGCGCCATATACGAGCTGCCCGACCGATTCCTCGCACCACAGGAGCTTACACAAATCCTACCGTCCACACGCATCTATGAGCCAACTTCGGAAGGTAAGATACCCCACCCCCATGAGACAAAGAAAGGTTGGTCCAAGCGCCTCTCGTTCCCTCTCTGCGCTCGCAGGCGGCCGCAGCCCTGCTCGTGCTGCTGTGGTGAGCGGCGACCCGCGTGTGTGGTCGAGTCGGCACATGAAGCACGCGGCCAGCGGGAGGGGGATGGAGGTGCCCGACACCATGCCAGCATTGGTGCACTTCGAAAACACACCAAACCTCCCATACAGGTAGACCAGTCTGCCTGCCATCAGGGGCAGGAAGTGCCTCCCTCAAGTGTTCCTTCCGTTGGTGTGTGTGGTCAACCGTTGATACCCACTACGCAGGTCGATTGAGGTGATATTCAACGACCGTGACATGTTTGCCAATCTGCAGCACCAGGACCCGTCGGGCATCTACTACGACTTCTGGGACCCTGACCTCTGGTACTCCTTCACCTACGGGGCCCCCATCCACCACCCTGATGAAATCGTGACGCCACGTACGGGACGGGCGAATGAACGCACTGACTGGCACGGCGGATGAATGCAATGCCACCCACAGAATTTGCCCTTTTGTGTGTCTCGGGGTCGGTCTGTCCCTATTCTCAACATCATATCATGCAGCTCCGTGTTTCCAGCCCAAGATCATGTCGGCACCCATGAGTGACGAATGGACCGCCAGAACCAAACGGTACTTGCAGAAAAGCTGGCTAGACACACGCACACACACACACACACACGCAGAGCTCTGTGATGCAACGCAGGTCCTTGTCGGAGAAGATAATGCGTTACATCCAGGTGCATCGGAACAGCAAGAAGATCATGACCCGATGGGCCACCGACGCGGCGCTCCAGGGCTTCCTCGAGAAGGGCCTCAGGTTGTTGGAGCAGGTCGACACATGCCCCCTTGAAGACTTCGACTTCAGCGTCGCTAAACTACAGGTAAGCAACCGAGCAGCCCACCACCATTCCATTCGCTCACCTTTTGGCTGCGTAGGAGTGGCGCCAAGTGCTGTATTCCAAGACCCCTCTCAACCACCGGTAGTTGAAGGCAGCAACGACGGGAGGCCATTCGTTCGCAGTCGTGTCTCTTTGTGGATGTCGGTCAGTTTGCGCGGCGGGCCGGTCCGTTTCGCATCTCGCGACCCATCCCTCGTAGCCGGAGCGTATTCAACAAATTCGACTTCTTTGAAATCAGAGACAAAAGCGGTCAGTCGGTCTGTATGCATGGGGACACGGAAACAAGCGACGCGCTCATCTCCTATTGGAATGCAATGCAGCTCAGTTTGCGATCGCCGTGCACGTGGCTCCTCTGCCCAACGGGGTGGTGGCGAGCTATGTGTACGTCATCATGATGCAGCAGATCAAGGTGAGACAGAAGAGACAGACAGACATGTGCACACCTGCAAGTGTGTGTGTCTCTGTGTGTGTGTGCCTCTCTTTCTCTGTGTGTGTGTGTGCAGGAGAGCGAAGTCAAGTCCATCCTCCGCAGCCGCATGCAGAAGAAGCGACGGGCAAGACCACCACCAGCCCCGTCACCGTCACCAGCACCCCAACCACCATCAGAACCGTCCCCCGCCCCGGCCCCCTCCGCCCCCCCACCAGCATCCCCACAGAGACCACGGCGGTCATATCTGCAGTACAAAGATGATGAAGAGGAGGCCGAACGGCCTGCAGGACGAGTGCCTTCGGGCAGACGGCTAACCGTTAAGCCGCCAAGAGATGGCGAGTCGGGTTCGGCGGAGGAGCCGCCGACAGAGGGAATGGGTGGTGTTCAGCAGCGGCTGAGGGTGGGCAGTGTGGTGACCCGCCGGCAGTCCGTGACGATGCAATACCCGAGTGGGGGCGCGCCGCCGACGGCGAGGGAGCGGAAGCTCAAGCCGACGGCAGAGGCAGAGGGAGAGGGGGGAGTGGGTGATGAGACGTGAATTATGTACGTGTGTCACACGATTTCATGGTCATGCGACGATTCGTTGACCTACCTTGGCTGTGGCACTCACTGCATGCGATATCATATCGTCTGTGTACATATCTGACGTACGTGTCGACCTCCGCGTGTGGTCTCGGTGTCGATTTGTGCGTGCCTTTACTTCAACAAATGGGTCGGTCACTACATCAAGCCCATGCAGTCACGGTTGGTCATGTACCAAACACAAACATCTCGCAGATCAGTGGTCGATACGCTGGTCCAGGAACAAAATCAGCGTCTTTCACTCACAGTGGAGTGGACAGCCAGTCGTCATAGCCCCTGAGCTTCTTGTCGTGATAGCCATACACGGGATGGAACCAGTCCTCGAACTCCCAGCTCTTCCCCGGCACACGCACCTCCACCTCGGCGGGGGGCTTGAAATCCACCAAACGGGGAGACACAGGAGACAGCGGCGAGAGGGACCCACGGGTTTGCGCAATCCAGGGCTGCGCCGCCTCTTGTGCTGACCGCTCCTCTTGCGCCTTCTGCTGCAGCTGCCTCCTGCGCGTCAGCGTCCAATGCCGCGTCAGTTTGTCCAGGTCGAGCAGACTCAGCCGCCTGCTGCCCTCTGCCTCTTGGAAGGCACTGGCCATCTCGTGCTCGGGCACCACCTCTCTGAGGATTTCCGAAAGGCCGGCGAGGCAGTCGGCCGTGTCGAAGGTGATGGGCTTCGGCCTGGTTCGCCTGTGGTAAGGCTGGTCCTTCAGCTCATGGCCGACGAGCAACGACATGGTGTCTGGCTGCTCTCTGTGGTCGACGGAATGATAGAGCGCCAGCAGCATGCAGGTGGCCGCGACGGTTCCTTGTGGGTGGTGGAGGGCATCGTGCAGCCACCGCACCAGGTGTGATCTCTGCTGATAGGACCGAGTGCGAGGGTCGGGGTACAAAAGGGTCTCCAGCCGACGATCGGCCTGTATGTGAGACGTGCCGTGCAGGGGAGGGGAGACATAGCAGTTGGTGTCTGTTGCACGCGCACCATGACAATATCGGCTCCCGTCCTGAGCTGCTGATCGAACTTCCTCACAGAAGCAGCATGCTCCATCGCAGCAGCTGCGAGGCGGTAGTGCACTGATGAGGGAGGAATCGGGGCCTCCCTGACACACAGAGACAGGGATGGAGTAAGATAGAGGTGGGTGAGTCCACGATGCTCCCGGATGGTCTTACGGCATCTCGGTGTCTTGGAGTATGTCGCTCTTGTCAGCCACTGGACGGAAGGGGACAGCCTGAACCATGCACGTCACTTTGCCTTCATAGACGACGAAAGCTATGACCTTCGTCTCACTTACGTCAATGTATCCGTCGACCGACTTGTCAGAAACCGAGGAACAATCCTGCATCCGAAGGAAGGCAAAAACAGGAAACAAAGACAGCCTTGTTGGAGCCGCCCGTGTCTCAGGTCACCTCCGTCTCCTCATTGTCTGTTTCAGCAGTTTGTGGCAATGTGGGCACGGACCTCTCGGGCCAGGGTGTGTACAAAAACAGACGGCCCAAGCGCACAGGCTCGACAGCCGGGAAGGTGGGAACACTGGCACGGGTGTCAGGGCGGCCAAAACCCTGCACTCACACCCACACGACCATATGGCCACCGTACCGTGCTGATATCTGCGTTCTCACCGTGCTGGGTCCCGCAGCTGCCATTCGTGGAGCAGGCGGCGGTGCAGCCTTTGGCTGCACTGGAGGTGGCACGGTCTTCTGCGCAGCGGCCGGCGGTATTGCCTCTTTCGTCTTGCTTCTGACCTTAGCTCTCTGGTTTCGCACCAGGAGAAACCCGGCAGATTTGAGTCGCGGCTTCAGGCCAAATTTTTGTGCGAAGCCTGGGTGGAGCGACGGTGGGATGGCAACCCTCTGATAAAGAGACATGCACAAATGATGGACGGACGGTGTTTATCTCCTCCTCCCGTCCCTCACTTCCTGACCGGGAACATGCGCCCCCTGAGGCTGTACTTCTTTATCCGTCTGTGGATCTCCCCTGCTGATGGCAGGTAGGCGTCGAGCGACGACCATACAGAGTCGGCCGTCTGCTTCTCAAAATCCAACTTCAAGAACTGCAGGCAGGCGGGAAGCATAGCATATGTGCACATTGATGACCAGAGGGGGGATGCCGTGTCGTGTATCACCCACCCTCCATATGATTGGAAAGCTCGGCAGAGCGCCTTTCTCCTGTTCAGCTGTCTTGTCCTGCCCATCATCGCCCTCCTCTTTGTCTTGTTGCTTCCTTGGCGCGGTGATGGCGTCAGGATTGAAGGAAGCCCACCTGTCGATCGGGAGACCGCAGAATATTTGCCTCACGCGATAGCCTCCTGCACTGATCAGGTCACACGCTCTTCTGACTTGTTGCGACGGCCTCTAAACCAAATACATTACATATGAGGTGGCACACCAGCAGAGACGCGTGAGAAATGCTCCATTCCTCACGTACCACTCTCTTTGCGGCGAGGTGTCCGAGCTGCGGCATCATGAGGCACCTTCCGAGCATCCCACATTCCCGTGTGGCGGCTTTCCACACAAACAGCATGGGCCAGTTGACGCGAAACGGCCTCGTGTCCGTCATGCGCGCGGCCATGGACGGCCGGGCCGAGTGAACCTTGGTCGGAACTGCAGGCAGAAGCATCCGAGACATTGGAATGCATTTGGCCGACTGGTGTCTTGTCTTGCTCAGGTGGTACCTCGCTGGCATGCGAAAGTGACGGGAATCAACGTCATGCTCTGTCGACAGACAGACACGCTCACTGAGACCGCTGTATTTCATGTCTTGCCGGTGGCGAGTACCTACCGGCAAGGGAAGGAGCTCTGCGATGCCGATAAAGATGGCGGTCGTCGGGTACACAAAGTACCGATATCTGAGGACGGATACAGAGAATACATGGGCAAATGACGTCGCTTTTGTCCCTCCTCTGTGTGTCTTCTCTACCTCACTCGAAGATCTGCTCTGCTGCGTAGATGATGTCCTCCAAAGGTGTCCCATCCTTGAGTCTTGTCTTGACGTCATCCTTCAGCCCCAGCTCATTCAGGCTCATCGTCACTGCCAGTGCCTTCTTCGCCCCCTCCGCCTGAGACACCGACGCCCTCGCTCGCGGCGCAATGTAGCGAATGGGGGCCGCAGGCACCGTCCAGGCGTCTTGCTTCAGCCTCTCCTTGGCCACCTGACGGGTTCGATCTTCCTTGGACAGTGCTTCCGTGGCTGTGTCTGCGCTTGCCGCAGAGGGAGCCGCGGGGGCTTGCTTGGATGGACTCGTAGCAAGCCTTTTCCCGCTTGCTTCGCCCTTGGCCGGCGGTAGGGAGGGAGAAGGCTTTTCAGGGATGGATTCTGCGGGTTCAGCCATCGCTGTCGGCTCAAACCTGCACAGACAACGACAGCCACACACACAGACAGGCATTGTGCCCCCGTCGAGAGAAGAAACAGAATGTTGTCAGCTCACGAAAATTTGTTGATGAAGAGCGCCACGCGGCTGAGGTTGATGGAGAGGGAGAGTTTGTCGTCGAGGACCGGCTTGATGAGGTCGCTGAGGTGCTGAAATGAGTGCATTAGCTTGAGCTTGAGCTTGACTCGCCTGAGCTTCGTCTTTGCACCCATGAGTATCTTCCGCCTCTCCTCCGCCCTTTGCCTTTTGAGCTTCATTGCTGCTTTTGCCGCAGCCGCAGCTTCGGAGAGCTGGCTCAGGTTGGTCTGGTCGTGGTCGTTGTCAAGCCGGATGCCGCCACGAGGAGGGCTCGTCATGGTTGTCATGATACCAAACGACGCACGGGGGGGAAGGGAAGGGGCTGGGGGAACAGTGGTTGGCGCGTTACGAGGGAAGGCCTTGTTGACGGGAGGGAAGGGCTGGATCCAGTTCGATTTGGAGGCACGCACTTGGGGGGCAGGATCGAGCTCATTGATGACAAAAGGCACTCAGCGTTCGGGCGGCACTCACTCACGTCAACCACACGTGCACTGTCCTTTTCAGAGACACCACATCCATCCATCCATCCATATGTTCACACCGACATCCCCACAGCGACAAATGTCACATGCATAACGTCACGTCACTGTGGCTGCAGCATAGGCCTCCTCTGCACGGCCCACCCCAGTCCTCAACAAACACATGGCGGCCCGCTCCCCGCTGTCCAAAGCGCCATTAAGAGTCGGTGTGGACATATAGTCGCCACACAGCACCAGCCCCTCCGGCAGCGTGCCGGCTAATGTCGGGTCGCTCTGCAGCGGCACCTTCATCGGGGGTTCCTGCGATGGCTGCGAATAGCGTATCCTGTAAGACCTGCAGTGCACCAACCAACACACCGCGGTGGTCCGAGGGGCAGATCGCCGTCAGGTGTGTTTCGCTCCCTCACCTCAGGAACTTTGCGTTTGCCATTACATCAGGCCAGATGTCCTGGAGTACCTGCCTGACTGCCGGCTCGACTTGGCTCTCGTCTTTGTCGCGCCACTCATCGCTGTCGCACAGCGTGACAGAGAGCAGGGCCTTGCCGGCAGGCGCATAGCTGCCACACACCTGACACAACCAACCAGCGGATTGCCATGTGTGGATGAGTGGAGGGCCCGAACAAGCGCCCACCTGTGAGGGGAAGCACATATTGTTGATTCGGAAGGGCAGCCTCCGCTCTGTTTCGCCGTTCAGCAACAGGATCGGGGCCTTTATTGGGGCTTCCTGAGCAACCATCAAAGTCACACGGAATGAATGCACCGTGTCGTTTGTTCTTCCCTCCATCACCTACTTGGTCCAGCCCCCAGTAGAATGTCCAACTCTCGAGGCCGGGCTTGAACAAGTCAGCTAACGATCCACTCAATGCATTAGCGGTGACGCCCACCCCACTCAGCAGCTTAAGGGTGGCTGGCGCATCCGTTGCAAGCACCACAGACCGGCACTTGACGGTCTCCCCACCAGCCAAAGCGACCACATATGTCCCATCCCTCGCCCTCTCCACCCGCAACACCTCAGTCGACAGCCGCAGGTCTTTGACGCCGCTCGCCAGCTGTCGCGCCAGCTCCCCCATGCCGCCCTCGGGCAGCGATGCGGGCCCCCGGGCGAAGAGAGAGAAGAGCCACTCAAACATCCTGCTCGATTGTCTGTCCAGCGGCGCCAGAAAGATGCCCCGGTAGAAGGGCAGAAAGAACGATGAAATCATGCTGTCGGAGAGCTTCAGCTCGTTGCGGAGGAAGTCAACTGTGGGTCGTTCTGGTCGGCTGAAGATGTCCTCTTCGGTCGATCGGACGCAGGACAGCCGATAGAGCCCCACCTGAAAGCACGCGTGATGGGGCGCACGATGAAGAGTGAGTCAGACAACCAGTGTGTCCGTCTATGTACCTTGAGTTTGTCGGCGAAGGTGCCGATGGGCGAGAGAAGTGAAGCCAAGAGGTCCTGTGGCCTCCTTATTGGGTCAGACACGAGATTGAACTCGCCGCCTTTCAGTACAAGAGCACCTGCACACACCACACACCACAGTGGCGATGGCCTGGGGGGCGACCAGGTTGCGTGTGTAACATCACCAACCGGGCAGGAAGTTTCTCAGCTTTAGCGCTTTGTAGTCAAACGTCCGCTTTGCCATGGGGTACTCCTCGATGAACACCTGAAAGCCCTGGACACACAAAGCACGTGTGAGGATCATGCAGCGCATGAGTGTGGTGTTGGCTCACCCACCCTATCGCAGAGGAATCCATCGACATTGTCCGTCTGCACGCGGCCCCCTGGCGCCGCATCTTTCTCGACAACCACCACGCTCAGATCTGGCTGCTGCTGTGCAAGCGTCCTCGCAGTGCTCATGCCACTCATGCCGGCACCGACAATCACACCTGACAAGCAAACAGAGGCGTAGAGAGTGACAATGGCGCAGTGGCTGTGCTGCTCACAGTCTGCTGTTGATGAGGCAGCCATGCTCACGCTCCTTGTTGGCAGATGGCTCCGCCGCCCGCCTATGCTGCGATGCCGCGACAGAGATGGCGAGATGAAGGCCTCCGCAGGGGCGAGTACAAGCAAGGGGACCCAGATCAACATCTTCACACCGATGCATCACAATATGGGGTTAGGGTTTAGGGTTTTGCAAACCCTGAACCCTAAACCCCAAACCCTAAACCCTCACAGTGCGCGTCCTCCATGCTTGAGGCTGCTCGCCAAACTGCTCTGGCTGGCCAGAACACACTGACATGATGTGTCTTCCATGCGGTTTTGTGTGGTCCGATGAGCGCATTCACACGGCACTATGTGTGTCACAGAAGGTAGGCCCTGTCTCGCCACTCACATCATCGTCCATGCAGTCACGTGAGTGCAGTGCAGCGGTGAATGAATAAAGATGACTGGCTACTCCTGCCATGTGAGTGGCGGCTCAAGCGTCTTGGTCAGGAAGGTGAACACATCTGCGATCTCCTCGAGCACTTTGGTGGTCGGCTTGCCCGCGCCGTGGCCGCTCTTGGTGTCGATGTAGGCAAACAGGGGCTGTTTCTGGCCAGCATGCTCCCGCAAATGATGCTGAGCATACAGACACAGAGGAGGGTCATTCGAACAGGGAAGGGTAGATTGGATATGCACCTGAATTGTGGCGATGAACTTGAGCGAGTGAAATGGCGACACGCGGTCGTCGTGGTCTCCCGTCAGCAACAGCAGCGCCGGATAGGAGCCGCCATCCGCAGGCACCTTCACGTTGTGTATCGGCGAATAGCTGAAGACACACACACACACATGCAGTGCAGCGCAGTGCAGCTCGTGGTGTCGGCGTCTGTTCGCTCGGTAGTGCATTTGATTACTTGATGACCGAGGCGAATCCGCTTGGGTCATCGCTGCAGCCGTAGTCGCTCTGCCACGCTCCCCCGATGCCGAACTTGTGGTACCTCAGCATGTCCATGACGCCCACCTGCACACACACGAATAGCCACACACATGGCAGTGGATGCACCTTTCTTTCTGTAGGTGCGATTTGTGGTGGAACGACTTGGGCAATGCAGGCCCCAAAGAGGTCTGGCCGCTGGTTGGCGCAGGCAGCCACCAGCAGCCCACCATTCGACCCGCCCTGGGACGCCAACCTGAACACACACACACGCGCAGACAGACAGACAGACAGACATCTGCTGAGCAGAAGTGGGGCTATGCACCGAGTGCTTCATGCCTTGACCTGCTTGGTGCGGTGTATCCGCTCTTGACCAGATAGTCTGCTGCGGATTGGAAATCGTCAAAGCAGTTCTGCACACAGCACAACAGCAACACGAGACCATTCTCCACCCAAAGCGCCACAAGAAACCATGCAGAGCAGAGCTAGAGCGATTCCACACCTGTTTCTTGTCGAGGCGGCCGTCGTGGTACCACGAAAGGCCATACTCTGCCCCGCCCCTGATGTTGGCCACGGCGTACACACCACCTGCACACACACACGTATATGCGACACACAGTGCAAGAGTGACACAACCATCCCATCCGTGCAGCGAGCGTGCAGAGGCAAGAGTCATTACCGAGCTCCTTCATCCAGATGAGGTTCTTTGGAGAGAATGACGGCGTGAGTGATATGGAGAAGCCGCCGTAGCCGTAGAGCAGCACTGGGTGAGATCCATCCAGCTTGAGACCCTGCATCGCGCAGACAAATCGACAGACAGAGACAGGACGGGCACATCACATCGGGGCTGTCTGCACTCTGCACGTGTCTCTCTCTTTCCGGAGGATAGGGTACGTACCTTCTTGTGCGTAATGAACATCGGTATCTTTCGGTAGTCAGTAAAAACACATACAAGAGTACGCAAACACAAACAAGAGTTCGCACAGAGGCATCATGGCATGGACACTGTCGGTGAGAAACACATCATGCAGGCCACAGCAGCCCTCGAGTCAAGTCACCTTAGTGCCGTCCTTCAGGCTCGGAAAGAACACCTGCACGGACAAGACAGAGAAAGATCATTCGTTTGATGGGGGTCCGATCCACGACACGTACCTGCTTCGTCTCGAACTCGCTCGAGTTGAAGCCCTTGACCTGAACATTCCAGCAGACCGCCCACCCCACACATCTTCCTTCGGTGAATTCACCCTCTACCCTCCTGCGTCCGCGTGTGTGTCACCTGTGCTTGTTTGAATATGGACGGCTGCAGCTCCCCCCCCGCGGCCAGCCCAGCCAGATCCAGACGATAAATGGTCGACGGCTCAGTGAAACCAGTCACCTTGTAGAAAATCTCTGACCATACACACACACACACGCACGCACACACACACACACACGTGTCGGCTGAGTGGAGGTGGCATTGCTTTCTCCTCGTCTCTTTCTCCGCTCCCTCGCCGCACCCACCGGTGTCCTTCCTGCTGGATGAGGTGACCATCATGTTCATGCCGGCATCGACAGTCTTTCGGTGCTTTACCGTCACCTCCCGCCCCTCCCGCTCCTTCTCGGCCTCGACCCACTCGAATGAGCCTTCACCGTCGTTGACCGTGAACAGCTCGAGCTTGTTACGGACGTCCTGCAGGTACTCACACAGCAGGATGTTGGGCGCCGCGCGGCTGGTGCCCTCGAGCACAGCGCCATTCTCTGCCTCGGGGATGACGTCGTATTGGCGGGCTATACGGCCTTCTGAAAGCGAAAGCAGAGGGGGAAAGGCATACGATGAGTGTCCGGGGGAGCGGTCATGTCCTTCTCTCATTTCTTGCCTGGTGTTTCTGCGGTGAGGTCTATGTCCATGGCTATGACCTTGTAACGCTGCGCGTCCTTGTTTGTCTGCACATAAAGGTTTTGTACGTTGGTATGGCTGCACTACTGACTCGTGTGCTGCCCTGCCCTGCCCAGCTTGTGTGTGCATACCTGCCACAGGAATGTCGGGCCGATGTTGCCGATCAAGTCGTATCCAGCATCGAAATTATCTGGATGATATGGACGGCTCAAGCAGGGTGTCACTCAGATGGGTGCGGTGTGTGTGCGCATGTGTGTGTACCGTACCGATGACTGGCTTCCACGACGACTTGACTTTGGTCATGTCCCTACCGATGGCCTCCAGATCACAAATCCACACTTGATTGGTCTGTTGGGTGCAACATGCACACACAGACAGAGTGTGCACGCCTTGTGTGCTGTATCTTCTGGTGCGTGGGGTCACTTTCATCTCTCACCGGCTCGCATGAACGGGAGATCGACAGCACAAGGTAGCGGCCATCTGCAGGCAGTCCAGAAGACATGCACACAACATCCACAATGAATCTTCACTCCACAAATCCACACATCCATCCATCCATCCATCCACTCCTGGACCTTTGGTCTCTGAGGCGCTCGCCATCCACCTGACCCACACACCATCCGAACAGGGATGCATGCGGCGCATTGAGGCTGACAATGCGTCATTCTGCTCACTCAGGGTCGTCAAATTGAGCCAGGAGGACGTCTTCCGACTGGGGCGTCCCTAGCCGATGGAAATACACCTATCACACACAGAATGGAATGCAAGACGGATGCACAGCGTCTCAGTGTCGCGTGTCTGTCTCTGCCGAACCTTTTGGTTCTGGTTCTTGGTCGTCTCCGTGCCGTCAGTTTTGGCGTACTTGTCGAGGTCGAAGTTGGAGTAGTACAGCCCACTGTCGTCGTGGTTCCAGCTCACGCCACTGTACTTGACCCTCTTGAGCTGGTCGTCGATCACGTACTGAGCCTCGTCGGCAGTGCTGTTGTCACCACTTGCCTGAAAGCTCTCCATGTCCACCACCTGCACACACCATGCACCACACACCGTGAACGAGGGAAGGCCGACAGCATCTCTCTGAGCGATCTGTCCGTCTGTCATCGGCTTGCCTTGAATGCGGTCCAGTCCGAGCCCTTCTCAGAGATGCCGTAGGCCAGTTTGGAGCCGTCGTCAGTGAAGGTGAGTGATGTGAGGGCGATGGTGCCGTCCTCCGACCATGTGTTGGGGTCGAAGGCGCATCGGGAGGGTGCGTCCAGGGAGGGCAGGGTGTACAGCACGTATTGTTGCTGACATGACACGCAAACATGAATGACACACAGAGTCAATGGACGGACGGATGGTTGGAGGTGAGGGAGACCAGTGCGAGTCAAGTGCCATCCATACCTGCAGGCCGCTGTTGTGGTAGTAGTAGTACTTCCCTCCTCTTTTGAAGGGTGTGCCGAACTTCTCGTAGTCCCAAACCTTACATGCATTGCAAAGACAGACGATCCTCACACGAATGCAATGCGTGACCGACAAGGCAAGGATGCCCTGTCAGTGCCGTACCTCCCGCAGGCGAGTGAGTATCTTTTCTCTGACAGGCGCGTTCTGAATGAAGGGCGTCGACAGCTCATTCTGCGCAGCAACAAAGGCCTGAGTCTCCGGGCTGTCGGGGTCCTCCAACCACCTGTAGTAATGGTGTGATTGTCACATGAGGCAGGCGACTTCATGCTTAATCGACTCACCGGTAATAATCAGAGATCTACACGAGCACACACATAAGCATGAAGTCGCCCTCTACTGGCTGTCTGAGTGGTTGATTGCTAGTTCACCTTGGTGCCATGGAACTCCTCAACGACCTCGTCGCGCCTTGCAACGGGGTAATCGTACTTCATCGTCGCACCAGCAGCAGCACTCATGCGACGGGACCTCCAGAGGAAGCCAGTGCGCTTGTGCAGGGGTGGCAGGAAGGAGGCAGCTTGCGAGCGGAGAGTGACGGCCGCAGTGAGTGAGAAGGGCAGGAGCATCAACCACAGCAGCATCCACCACTGCAGCGCACAAACACAAACTGTTGCCTGTCAAGGCCAGCTAATGAGTGCATCTTTCCTACATCTCAGTGAAGATTTTCAGTCCTTCAGACGACGGCTGTTCCTTGCCGCTCCGTCACGCTAAGCTCGCAGCCATAAGCTCGCAGCCGTTACACGCACACTGTAGAAAAGGTCGTGACCGTAAGGGCGGCACAACTCTGATTCTATCGCACACAGACACTCCCGGGAGTAACCGAAGGCACCAAGGCGACCCGCACACGGCTGCGGAACTCAAAGAAACGGAAAACAGACGACTGGAGAGGAAGGGGAGAGCAAGAAGCAACGAGTGAAACATCGCGATTCAAGCAGTGAAGAACGGCCTGAGAGGCACTGCGACACTGGGTACGCACCATGCACAAGCGACAACATTGAGAACACCGTTCGTTGCATGAAAGCACTTGTCAATGTTTGCTGTTGCTTGATTGTTGGTTGCTTTGAAACAGGCCGGTCATGGCATCGGGCCATCGTGTCCGCCTGCTGATCCTGCTGGTGGCATCTCTCTGTCTATGTGCGACGGTGACAGCTCAGTGGTTTGGTGGCCGCAGCAGCCGTGCCGATACTGCCGATTCCGAGCCTGCTCCAGCCGCCGATGAATCGTCGCGTCGCAAGTGGTGGCACCTGGACAATGAGCCTGTAGAGGACCTCGGCGCGCCTTCCCCAACGCTATTCGGCGGCTCACGGGCAGCGGGACAGGACGAACCGACTACCACAAGCCAGCCGTGGTTTGCAGGCCTGTTCCCGCCATTCGGCTTCTCCTCTCAGCCGGCCAAAGATGCCTCTGGTGCAGAGGAGGGCCTCAAGCCACTCAACTCCAGCAGCTTGGAGGGCTCAAACGGGCGCATCATCTGCCTGTTCAATGACGACATACAGAGCCACCAGGAGACCAACCGCGCCACCCTGCTGAGCGACCTCCGGTCAGCGTGGCGTGACCGCACCGCTGAGTGCCGCGAGCCGTTCGGAAGCCGATTCCTGAGCTCACTGGGCATCGAGATCTTCACGGTCCAAGAGGAAGCCCAGTACGGCTGCCTGAAGGACCTGCTCACGCCCTATCAGGACATGGTCACGTGCACGCCATCCTTCCTTTTGACCCGCATCTTCCAAGCACAGCCGACCGGATTCCTCGGCGGCATCCTCAGCAACAACGCTCCCAGCGGCGACCAGCAGACAGTGACCACCAAGAAGGCCGACGGGCCGATGTTCGCCGGTGCGAATCGCGGCAACAAGACCACCCAGCGTGAAGACTTCGAGTGGTTCAGGAACGCCAATGACGTCATCTTCGGCGGCGCGAGTCAGCTTCAGAACGTCCTCAAGGCATATCAGCAGTCGGACTTCGCCAAGAAGGAGGAAGAACAGAAAAAGGCCGCCGCTGAGGCCGAAGCAGCCAAGGCCAACAAGAACACGGGCAGCGGAGCAGTGTCCACACAAGCTGTGGGAGCGGGTGCCATCCCCTTCGACCAAGGCGCGCTGGGAGATATCGCCAACGCTCTGCCGCAGCAGGCCATCCAGGAGCTGAGCCCGCGGGCCAAGGAGCAGCTGCAGGTCGTCAGTTCCTTCATCGGCACGGGAATGGACTACTTCATCAAGGCCATGCAGGGCATGGCGCCCACACCGCTGGAGGGGCTGGCGGGCGCGGGAGGGCCTGGCATTGGCGATGTGCAGCAGGCCGTCGCCCTTTCGGCCGAGCAGGAGTCAGAGGTGCAGCAGCCCCACGGCCGCCCATCCGACAACCAGGCAGGCGGGCTCTTCGCCCGCAACAGCCGCGAGATCCCCCACAACGGCATCGATGACGATGGCAACGGCTTCGTTGACGATTTCATCGGTCACGACTTCACCAAGCCCCCTCAGCAAGGCGGCAGCGGCTTCAGTGCCGCAACAAAGGACGGCAGCCACGACACGGCAGCAGGAGTGCTCTTCGCCGGCAACTGCCAGCGCAAGATCGACTTCACCAACCTGGGCTCGCTGGCACAGGGCGATGGGTGCAACGCCAGACGCCTCGGCCGGGCGCCACGGGCCATGCCCCTGAAGGTGTGGAGTGAGGAAAGGGGCGGAGCCGATCTGGCTGACGTGCTGACGGCCATAGACTACTCGGTTCAGCGCAATGCGTCCATGGCCTACCTCCCTCTTGGGTTCGGCGACTTCCCCTCACTGCAGCAGGCCAAGGAGGGCCCCCGCATCCTCAGGACGGCCATCCACAGGGCCTCGCGTCACGGCCACGTGTTCGTCATCCCATGCGGCAACGAGGGCATCCAGCCGCAGCTCCAGTCGACGCTCAACCTCAAGGAATACGTCGAGACCAACCTGTGTGACGTGCCGGGTGCGGCCGTCCTCTGTGTGTGCTCCATTGATTCCGCAACCGGGCAGCCGACTGATTACACCAACATACCGCTCCTCACCCGCAATGTGCTGTGGGCCCCCGGCAGCCTTCTTAGTGTCGACTCATCGGGCAACCAGACGACCTTGACGGGCACCAGCCTCGCAGCCGCCTCCGTGCTGGGCACAGCAGCCATGGCACACGCAGCCCTTGGAGACGTGGCGACACCGGATCTCCTCTTTGCGTCCCTTCTGAGCAGCGAGCGCGAGGTCTTCGCGCCAGGCCGGCCTCTCAGCAGCGACGTCGCGCAGGAGTTGTCGCAGATACAGCACAGCAAGGCAGCGGCGAGAGACGCGACACGGCGCCGTATGCAGGCCGCCGCCCCTGCCGTGTCCTTTGTCGACATCGCCAGAGGAGCTGCCAACCTGGCGTCGGTCGCGGGCCCTGCAATTGCCAATGCTCTTGGAACCGTTCAGGGGCAACAAGCACCGCCACCGGCAGCCCCAGCTGCTGCTGGGGCTGCTGCTCCTCCTGCTGTTCCTGCTCTTGCTGGTGCGGCGGGGAATGGGCGCTTGGTGCAGAACCTGGGAAGGCTGGTCGATCCTACTGCATCATTGCTCAGCGGCATCGCTGCGAGGAACGGAATCGCCCCCCAAGGTTAGCAGCGAGCCACGCAATCGACTCATTCATTCTCTGCTCACTCTCCGGCTTTCTTTTGTATGTATGTGTGGCGCCTTTCTCTGTGTCAGGTGCTGCGAGTTGCCTGACGAAAGACACTATGCTGGTCGGCGGCACAGTGCTCGGCACACCCAAGGAGTACCAAGCCGCCAACCAGTGCCAGGCCGTGTGTCAGCAGACGGCCACCCCCCAGCAGTGCACGGCATTCTCTTTCAAGGCCCCCAACGAGTGCACCCTCTTCAACAGCCCCACGGCCCAGAGCTCCACCCCCGGCACCGTGTCAGGCCCGGCATTCTGTCCGCAGCCACAAGCAGGGGCGCAGAGCGAGCAGGTGGCAGCGTTGGGAGCTTTGGCCCCCGGCCTTGCCTCTGCCGGGAGTCTCCTCCTTCCGGGCGCGGCGGCGCCCCTCAACTTGGCTGGGCTGGGTGCTGGTCTGGCGAGCAGTGGTACTCTAGTCGGCAATGTGGCGGCTAATCTGCCTGGTATTGTGTCGACAAGCGCAAAGGCGCTGTCCACCGGTTTGGGGGCGGCGAGCGAGGTGGCCAAGTACGTGGACTTGGCCAAGGCGGCCGAGCTGGTGACACTGGCGAGGGACAACGGTGTGTTCAAGCGGCTGCCGGTGTCCAACCCCATCCCAGACCTCAAGATGCAGAGCCTCCCGCCACAAGGATGTAAGTATGGTGGCAGGGGGAGGGATAACAATTCAGTGGGTGGTGTGGTGTGAGTGTGAGTGTGGGTGGGTCATGTCATGTGTGGATGTCCGTGTGCAGCTGGTAAGCCCAAGATCGACTGTTTCAAGCAAGGCATGAAGTGCTGCATCCCACTGGCCGCCCTCAACGGACGATACGAAGGCAGATTCGCGTGAGCAGCAAAAAACAGAAAGAAGGAGACGCACTCCCACCGCCGGCGATGCCCGACCACTTTGTCTCTTTCTGTTTGCAGGCCTGCCTTCTTGAGCGGCACTGAGCAGTGTTCGGCGACCCTCTCGAGCGACATTTTCAGCAACCCCAATGACTTCGGTGGTGACGTGTGCGCCACGGCCGTCTTCAAGGGCGAGGGCAACTGCGGCATGCGCGTCTACGACGCCGGCCCCACCAAGCTCTACGAGAACGAGCTGCGCCACCGTGGGGCCAACAACAATGTCATCTGCCGCTGCTGGCTGACCAAGAAGGAGGACGGGGACATGTCGGTCAAGGGCGAGGCCACATGGGAGGTCACTGTCCAGGCCGCCAACGGCAGGACGGGAGAGGGAGCCGAACTCGGCGCCCTCGGACAGGCTGGAGGACTGGTGGAATTTTTGGGATCTGAGGAGGGCCAGGCGGCCCTCTCGGGCGCCGGACAGCTGCTCAATCAGGTCTCCGGCACTCCCGCTCCCCCGGGAGCCAGGCCGGTGGCTGACATGCCTGTGGTTGGGAGGCTCGACGGGGCGATCGATGCCGTCAACGCCTACGATTTCCAGTCGGGCAGCTTCGCCGACACACTGAGGGCCCAGTCGGTGGATGAGGTGGACACACCCGGCGGCAAGGTGGCCGTCACACTGCTCACTGGTACGAGGGAGGGTGTCGAGGACGTCAAGGACTACGTGGACAGCCAAGCGCCGGAGAAAGGTTCAGGCAGGCGCTTGCTCCAGCAAGTGGACGCACCTGACGCCAGCATCAGCCCCAAGTGCAGTGCGTGGCTGTGGGCTAACCACGTGTATGCGAGGCGGTCACACTGCGAAGAGGCGCCGCTCGAGTACCAGGCCGTGAATGAGCAGTGTGCACCTGTCGAGCTGGTCAAGGACGGCTGCCCAGCCACAGATGCAGTCAACTTGAGGATGGTATGCCCACTGACCACATGCACTGCACTGCACTGGACGAGGAGGATCTGCATCCATCCCATTCACTCTCTTGTTCGTTCGTGTGGCTGGGTGTGTGTATGTTTTGTCAGTGCGCATTGTCGTGCGGGCTGATGTGCTTCAAGATGGACAAGCTCCGGTGGTGGGACGCCGCCCCCTACCGCCTGCACACGGAGTTCATCACCTACCCCTCCGTGCCGGCCCTGCGAGCCAACCTCGAGACCAGGTGCCCGGACTTCCTCGACGCACTCCTGCAGAGCAACGACACAGGCATCCTGCCCATGGCATCACTGAGCCCACAGAGACGGCAGCTTCAGCGACGGCAACCACGGTGGCGAGACGCACGAGAGAAGAAGGACGAGGGAGACACCAGCAGCCCCACCGGCCCACCGTCTCTCGAGGACTTGGTCAACGACGGCCCTCTGGACCTGCTGCCAGCTGGAGACATCCCTTCATCGGCAGCGGCAGATGGCACGTCTTTCGTCGAGCTGGTCTCCGACCTCGGCAACTCGGTCGTAGCGCTCGTCGCTGAGGAGGACCTGCCCCTGCTGAAGCCATCGCCATCGGAGGACCCCATGGCAAGTCTCGCCAACACATTCGGGGCCTTCCTCGGCGCGTCCCCCAACGCGACCAACGCGACGGATCGGTGGGCGGGGCTCTTCCCCGAGGGCGCGCGGGAGGAGCTGGGCATCGTGACGTTCAACCAGATGACGGGCGTCATCATGTCGGCCATCGTGGACGAGGGCAAGAACGTGGTGGGGCCGGTGTTGCCCAAGAAGGGGTGGGAGCTGGCCGAGGTGCTGGCGAGGCCCGAGCTGATTCGGTGGCGCTATGACGTGCCGCTGTACACATTCAGCAAGGTGATGGAGTTCATCCCCAGCCCCAACGATGACGGCGTGGCGCTCGACCTCATCCAGAGGGAACAGCTGGGGCTCACCCTGCCGCAGCTCGACACACGCAGCTAGCTAGCTAGCTCGGGTGGTGGTGGTGGGGAGGGGGAGGTGCCTAATTCGTGAATCGATGTGGTGCAAGGCAAGAGTCATGGTAGCCATTTATGCGTACGTCTTGTCGATAAGTAGAGGGGGCGCATTGATGTGCCAGTGGGGGGGGGGGGGGGGAAC